GAAGAAAAATAAGAGAAGAAGAGTGGGACTTACCCTTGGGCTGAGTGAACTCGCTCTTCTCAACACCGGCCTTGATGGCCTTGTTGAACTGAGCATCGAAGGTGGCTTGAGAAGCGACATTGATCTTGTTGTTCGAAGAGACGTACTTCTTGATAGCCTGGCGACTAAATTGGGAAAAATAAGTTAGTGGCGTGATATGGGAGGAAAGGTTGACGCGCGCTTCGTGGGAGGGGGGAAGAAGATTCCCACGAACGCGAACGCGACAACGAGGTGAAAATGCGCCCAACATACCTGCTACCATTGCGCTCCTTCAGCTATATGCGGAGAAACCAGTCAGCAATTGAAAATGATAAACAAACCCCATCCACATTGTGGTGGTGGCTGTTCAAAGCAAACGGCCGAGCGTGTCACGGTCGGGCGCGCGACCCGAATCACAACACGACGGGCGCCAGCGGTGATCTACTCACGTTGACGATAGCATCCTTGATCATATCTATATTGATGGAATCAGCAGACGTTCGCGACGCGAACGATGCCCCGATCGCGTTTACGCGATGGGGTGGTCGCTCAGGATCAGTGAAAACATACCACGGTAGGAGGCGTGAGCGGCGGGAGTGGCCTTCTTGGTCGCGCCGGTTGCTTTCTTGGGAGGCATGATGAGATGAGTTGATTTGATTGAAAGGAAGAGAAGATGTTATCAACAAGTACTGGATAGTACAAAGCTAAAATCGAAAAGATGTGTGTGGGGAGAGGGAGAAAGTAGAGAAAAGAAGAAGCAACAGCGGAAGGGGGAAGGGCCGCGGGGCATCCGTGATTTATAGGCGGCCGCTGTTGACAGCCAGATCAACCCAGTCTTCCCTCTCTCTGCCGGAAAATCGCATGGGTCTTTTTCTCCTTTTGTTGGTGGATATTTACCATTATTTCGTACTTGTGTGCTTTGAACTTTTGATACTATTTTTTCTCTCTCTGTCTTGTCCTTCTTTTTTTTCTAATATTTTATGGTTTTGTTCTATTCCAAGTTGGTGGTCTTCCATCCAGCCTTTGGCGCGTCGAACGAATCTGCAGAACTGGTCAGGAATGGTTGGCCGCGAGCATTCCCCGGATTGGGCAGACGAGAGGAGTAACACGTCCTTGTGCGCATCTACCTCGAATCTTGGCTTGGAAGCCTTTGATCGAAGTCCTACTAGGGTTTATGACTCTTGACTGGTCCCCGCGTCTACGATTCCTCTTTATCAACAAGAAATCGCGCATTTCTTCGTTTGTCGCGGCGAACAACTCCATGCACCTTTTTCCTTTTTTTGGGGTGACTTTTCTCTCAAGGGTCCTAACAAGGCATGGACACATTCCACAAGGTCTTAAGTGATCGCCCACAGAGTACGATTGGTTCCTTTTCCCTACCTCTGTTCTCAGCCAATGTGGCTGGGGGGGAGGAATCCAGATCTTCGTCTGAATATTCCGAGCGGATCTCCCAGGTCCAGCCGTTGCGGACTAGTAGTAACTAGGGAACAAGTAGCTCTCTTTAATCTAAGTGGAATGTCATACTGACATACATGGACTCCCCTGAATTTTCTTTTCCATGATATACCTAGTAGTTATTATTATACTTCGGGGACGCGCAGTTGCAGCATGCGATCTCCGGGAGAGGGGATCTCCTTGCGTGCTTCCCTCAGGACCTGCAGATCCAGTAACTACGAGTGCGAGTATCACGAGGCCTTTTTTCCCCGCCCGGTTTTTTGCCATCGGTTCGGTCCACGGTCCACGCCCGGCACTCGATGATGTCGTTGACTTGGTTGTGTTGTAGTGAGTGCGCTTGGTTGGTCTCACGCGGCCGTATAGTCCGTGGAGCCCTAACTGCTCTCCGTCGCGCTACCCGTGATCGTCGTTGGCCAACACGCTCTCATATCATGTCATCTGGGAACTAGTGTTGCATCGTTATTTGTGTGGGGGGGGGGAAATAGTACTAGTAGTGGATAGAATAGAAAATGTATTTTTATCATTTATTATTTAGACTGTTTCTATTTTATCTTCGTTTATACTGTGGGATGTGGTAGAAGTGTGGACCTGTGTGTCTCTATATTGCTGGTCTGCTGTTCTAGTGAGATGTGGATATATATATTGCGGAATTTTGAAATACCTTTCAAGGTTACTTCGAAGAGGGTACATCGGCTGTGATTGATACCAAAGGCCAATAGAACGCGCAAAATCTAGTGATCCACGTTAACCGAGCGACTACTGGATGAATCGCTCTCCACTGGGCCCGGTTTCTTAAACGATGGGTGATCGCGGTTCATGAAGCACTGACTGGCACTGACTCCCAGATGCTTAATCTACATTTTTTGAGATCTCCATTCGAAAACATCACACGGCAGAGAAAAATAAATACAGATAGTGTAGGACTACTCTCATCTCTGTCCGAAATTACCTAGAAATGTCTTGACTATGTTCTGGGGGTAAAGGGGGGAAGCTGCTCTGCCCGGCCCGGCCCAGCTGCATTCGCATCAACCTTGCAGCGGACAAGATGAGACCACCCAAAGGGGTGATCCCAACCCACCTCGCTAATTTCTTTCGACGAAATGGCCAAAAATATAGTCAAGGCCACGATGAAAACAAAACATAGCAATTTGAGCCCGTCTCATGCCGGCCGCGATCAAGATCACTCGCTCTTGTCCATTGGCAGATCACGATCCACCTCGCTTATTCCGGACGATCTAAACAAGAGCATCGGGGTTTGGCTCTTCTAAAACCACCACAACCACCCCTGAACTTGGTTATAGAGCATTCATAATTATTCAATATACAGGTCTCAATTCAATGAAAGTTTATTTGAGCGTTTTCCGATGCCGTATTGACTAGGATCACGGAAATGGTGGTTCATAGACACCACCCCTTCCATCTTATATTCTCTGATCCTGCACCCCATGCGGCTCTACAGTACTTCCGAGTAGCCAAAATAGTGTTACTGGACCGATCTGGTTCTTGAAATTTGATTATTTCACTTTCGCTGGTATGATATGCTATAGACTCCATCTCATGGGCTTGAAGGCCAGGTGGGAAGAAAGTAGCCCCCACCCCTAAATCGTGACCCGAAAATGCAATTGGAAATCAAAGCAAACAGAAAAAGATCCCAAAAAAACAATGGGAAATAAAAGCCTGCCCACGCCAACGCCTGATTTTGAGAAAGACGGAAAAAGAAAGATTTGCCAGCAAACCCCGTTGGTTAACTGGATTGACCGGAAGGAAGTACGTACATAGACTAGCCGGCCGCACGAGGCTTCGCCTTCGAGTCTTTCTTGGCCTTGGCCTCATCCTTCTTGCGCTTCTTTTGTTGAGCAATCTTGTCATCATTCTTGCGCTTCAAGCTGGCTTTCTCGTCATCTGTCCGTGCGACGGGCTTGAAGAATCCCTCCAGTCGCGCCTGTTGAGCACTCTTCAGGTTCTTAGTGAGACGGGCGGCACCGTTGCGCACGCGGTCCTCGTTGAATCCCTTGTCCCCGACTAGGTACTCGATCAATCCGTCCACGTTCGGCGCGTCCCATTTGAAATCGCACTCCGGGTGATCTGCGTCATGGACGTCAGGATTGGCAAACAGTTCCCGCGCATCTTGGTACGGCCAGCTCTCTGGGACGACGTATTTCTTCTTCGGGTCATTCTGCATATATTCGAGGACCTTCTCGAGGGACTTGTGTTCCTTGATCAGGGCGAGAGCCGTGCTGGGTCCGACCTTGGGGATGGGCTCAAGGTAATCGCATCCGAGAAGAATGCAGAGATCGATGAACTGCGTAGTGAGTCGGGGGGTCAGTATTTAAAAGGTGAAATGTGACAAAGGGAACCCCTCACCTGGTCACGATCCATATTGAGGCCCTCCATGGCCCGGGAAAGGTGGATCTCTTGGATCGGCTCCTTGCGCTGTTCACTGAAGGTCAAGTGGCGCAAAAGGATAGGCGACTCGAAGCACAGCGTATCCATATCCTCCGACGCAGCAGCGTAAACCTTTCCAGCACGCGCCAGAACCGCACATTGCGCCTCGGCCTCGGTGGGTGCAGTGATGTAAGGAATGCCCATGAGCGACAAGAGCTTCTTGCATTCGGCATTGTGTTCACGAGTAACTCGGACTGTTCGTCGCGAGAACTTCTCGATATCTTCGGCGGTACCGGTCTCTTTAGCTTCCTCATGGGCTTCGGTTGCCTCGGCCTTACGTGCACCACGCTTGGCCAGCTCGCCCGACTTCAGCTTTGGCGGGGCTCCGTCGAAGACGTAAAGAGGCTTGATACCGTTATCGACCATTCGTAGAGTACGGTAGAACAGGCCCATCAAGTGAGATGTTGTCTCGCCGGACTCGCTCATTAATTGTTGACCCTCTGAGCGCACCGCGATCAGGAAACTGTAGATACTCATTGATCTGTGTTTGGTTAGTGGAATACGTTCGTAGATTCCTTGCACGACGGATGTTGGACGTACGCATCCTGTCACGGGAAGGAGATTATTAGCCATTTAATTTCTATCAAAAGCAAAGCAGAGAGATTCTCAGGTGAGGGCATACAATGGCGACCTTGCGGCCAAAATGATTTTTGATCTCCCCCGTCTTGATCGCATCGGGGGCGTTCTCTGAGATTACCTGGTATAGGTCTTGTCGTGGCCCAGGTCAGCAGGTCCCAGAAACGATTTGAAGCTGCAAACTCACGTTTGATACCCATATTGGCGACTTTGAATCCTTCAAGCTGGAGGGCAGGTTTGGTTGGGAAGATTGCCAAGATCGCCTTTCACCGCGGTAGACTGACGCGACGCGCCAATGCGCGCATCATGAGGAACCCGCCATTAAACCCAAACGGGAAGATCCACGTGATAAATACACGTGACCGGCGACCGGGGCCGGTCCAGGCCCGAACATTGCCTCAGGCTGCGATATCGGTCGATTACCGGACGGCGTCGCAACCCCGCCTTTCTGTCCCCGGAGTCTGCTCTTGTTTTTATTTCGCGGAGCATGAGTTCGATTACTCATTATGAAGCGGAATCGCATTCATTTCGAGGGCAATGGCGATGCCTCGTCGGCCTCTCCGCAAGGCAGTTTCACTCCCGAGGATCAATCGCGGCAGTCGCAACATGTCCCGAAGATCTCACGGAGGATACGTGCCTGCACGGAATGTAAGCGACATAAGGTCCGGTGTGATATGAAGGCAGGCGAGTCGAGCTGCTCGAGATGTCGACGTATGGGGCTGGAGTGTGTTGTCAACAAAAGCCTCCAGACATTACTAGAGGATGAAGCGGAGTGAGTTGATTTCCTCGGAGCTAATAGCTCCTTTTAATTGCTTTCTTTCTTTCTCTTTTTTTTTTTTCGCTTGCCTAGTCGCAATTACTAATAAAGCTATTTGGTCGATATAGGTGGAAAACCACGATCGAGCTCGCAATGACCGACCTGCTTAGGAAGGCGCAACTGCCGGAACTGTCATATTACCAAGCGGGTGGTGGATCGACCGAGACACCTTCGAAGAAACGAAGTCGGAAAGAGTCAACCGTATCGGTAGATGATGTGGGATATGCATATGGACACCACAAGGCTGCCTCAGCGGATACACCTATTCCTGGAACTACGGGTTCCAGCTCATCTACCTATACATTCCCCCAACCGCAAACACAATACTCGATAGACCGCGAAGAGACCGCGGCTACTTCATTAGTGACTGCGCCCATGGGGAGCTTGTACGAAGTTACGCAGTTGAGTGAAAACCGCGAGAGCTCTTCTCCCACACAGCGATATCCATCGGACCAGGCGCTGGTGACGGATTTCATTTCACGCGGCGTGGTGGAACTGCAAGAGGCAGAGGAGTTGTTCTATCATTTCGACCAAGTTCTGAATCGCTATCTTTGGGATGGCGCACTTCTCCCACACAAAGATCTGGCATCTGTGAGGCGATCCTCGTCCTTGATGTCCGCAGCGATCCTCGCTGTGACTGCACTCCATATGCCGACCAAAGAGCGCACGTTTGATACCTGTTATACGGAGTTTGCGAAATTGGCATCCGAATCCATGCTTGGAGACCATCATAGCTTGGACGATGTGCGGGCATTATGTATCGGTGCTTTCTGGCTTGCTGATGTGAGCTGGAAGCTTTCCGGGTATGCGGTCCGCATTGCCACTGAGCGCAATTTGCATCAGTTCTATCGGAAGGCCGTACAAGGCTCACCAGAGCACAAGGAACAAGCTCGGCTGTGGTATCTCCTATATGTATGCTTTTGATCTCCCCGCCTCTTCAATCAATTCCGAGAGACTAACAACCAGAAGACCCTTGAACATCACTTCTCTATCGCATATGGTCGACCGCCCATCATCCACGAAGATGCATCCATCACCCAACATAACACTTTCACACAGACCCCATCCATCACTCAGGGTGACCTACGATTGCACAGCCAGGTAGACTTGTTCATAATTCTTACTCGCATATATTTCGCTTTCGGACCGGATGTTGATCTTGAGGTCGCCGAGAGCGACTTCCCCAAGATCGACCAGTATGACACGGATTTGGGCCATTGGAAATCGGCATGGCTTCCAAGGCTTGGTAAGTCAATTTCTTGCTTCAACTCGGGCTGCAATTCGCTGCTAACACAGTCACATCTAAAGCTGGGAGCCGTCACGTTGGCGCATACCCCTACAAAGCCGTGTACATGCACTATAACTTTTCTCGACTACAGCTATATTCGGTTGCACTACGCACATATCATTCCTCAACTTCTTCGCGAACCATGTCGCCCGAACGACGGAAGCGGGCTAATATCGCGATTGAGTCGGCCATTGCCACTTTACAGGTTGTGCTGGACGAACGAGACATCCAGAGAGCGCTAGTCGGCGTGCCTCTATATCTCCACAGCATGATCACTTTCGCGGCGGTATTCCTATTGAAGATTGCTGCTAAGGCATGCTCGAGCGGAGCGAACCAACAAAATAACTCGATTGCATCGGCAGGTTTGCTGGTCGATATTGGATATGTGCGAATTCTGGTTGGACGAATTGTCGAAATGATGGTATCCTGCAGCCAAAGAGCAAGCGAGCGCCATCTAAGTCATCACATTGCTCGCGGTCTACGCAAGATGCTGACGGGCCTGGAAGAATGGGAGAAGCGAAATGGCACCCAGCCCTCCATGGGGTCCAACCAACAGGAAACATCATCTCTTTTCAAACCGGTTATAATTCCTGGAGCACAGATCTTAGGAGAACGAGACACTATCCTAAACCACCCGCCACCGCTGTTGGGTGTGGCGCCTTTGTCTGCCGAACGCAGCAACGGGTTCGAGCCGACGACAATCGGCAAGCCTGAACCAGGACTTTCGGAGGGTTCAATGGACCCCATGATGGCAGATTTGTGGGGATTCGATGAGGATTACTTCCCCACGGGGGTGTTTGATTTCCTGCAAAGCCAGATGCCTGCATGAGGATCTCTCTTGCGAGTCTGTAGATGTGAATATTCCCGGACCCTTGTCCCTTGTACATAATAATTACCATATAAGCCGGACCTGGTCGTACCAAGCAGACAGATAATATTGTTAAAATGAACGAGATCCCGTCAATGAATGAAGTAGCAATACAAGCTGTAGCCATAGTAAATATCATGGCTGTATCCATACATGTACTATAAATTCTTAAAACCAGGCATGGGTGTATCGTCGGCAGTGTTGGAACGCCGAGCGAACCGAACAAGTCACACCAGCATGACCGAAAAAGTCCGACCCCGGAGCCCTACAGCCGATACGACCTCGAAAAGTCGGGGGATCCATCGAATCAAGTTTCCAGATTTTGCCCCTTGCGATCGCCGACAGAATCCAGCGCGTCACTCCACTCGGTCTTTGTCGTTGAGTTCGGAGATCCCACTGCCCCAGAATTGCCGAGGCTCTCCGTCCTTTTAGCGCATATTTGATAGAGCTCCCCCGCAACCTGACGACATTTACTCCGTACAGCCAACTTCAATTCCTTTCTCCCACCAAGTGACCGTTGTCGATCTCTTACAAAAATGATGAACCGCTCTCTCCTGCGCTTGGCTGCGCGCTCTGTCCAGGCTGGCCCTGGTTCCTCTGTCGCTGGTCGGCGTTATGCTTCTTCGGCAGTCTTTAACTGGGAAGATCCCCTCGCCGCTGCGGAACTTTACACGGAAGAAGAATTGGCTATTCAGGACACAGCACGACAGTACTGCCAAGAGCAATTGCAGCCGCGTGTACTCGGTACGTTTCTTTTCCCCGTCCTTTATATTCCTCATATTATGTTTTTATGTCATTGACTAACGCGAATCGTAACCTCCTAGAGGCCTACCGCAATGAAGACTACGATCGCAAGATCCTCCACGAGATGGGAGAGCTTGGCCTGCTGGGCGCTTCGATTGAGGGATATGGCTGTGCCGGAGTTAGCACAGTCGCCTCAGGTTTGATCACCAAGGAGGTGGAGCGAGTGGACTCTGGATACCGATCAGGCATGTCTGTGCAGAGCTCACTGGCGATGACGGGTATCTACGAATTCGGCACCGAAGAGCAAAAGCAGCGATTCCTGCCCGGTCTAGCCAAGGGTCAATTGGCCGGTTGCTTCGGCTTGACCGAGCCAAATCACGGCTCAGATCCCGGCGCGATGGAGACCGTGGCCCGCGAGCACCCAACTCAAAAGGGCATGTATCTCTTGAGCGGCAGCAAAACGTGGATCACCAACTCGCCTATTTCAGACCTGGCGTTGGTCTGGGCTAAGCTTGAGTCGACGGGCAAGATTCGTGGATTCGTTGTTGAGCGTTCGCGATGCCCGCCGGGTACATTCGAGACTCCTGCTATAAAGAACAAGAGTGCGCTCCGTGCTTCAATTACGGGCATGATTCAGATGGATGATTGCCCTGTTCCTGCTGAGAATATGTTTCCTGATGTTGAGGGTCTGACTGGTCCGTTTACTTGCCTGAATAGCGCGCGCCTGGGTATCGCTTTTGGTAGCATGGGTGCTTTGGAAGACTGCCTGGCTCGTGCTCGTGATTACAGTCTAGAGCGCAAGCAGTTCAAGGGAAACCCTCTGGCGAAATACCAGCTGGTTCAGAAGAAGCTGGCCGATGCGGCGACTGATGCGGCGTACGGTACTCTGGCCGCTGTGCAGGTAGCTCGCCTCAAGGATGCTGGCAAGGCCACCCCCGAGATGATCTCGATGATCAAACGTCAAAACTGCGACCGAGCGCTGGTCAACTCGCGGATGTATGTTTTCTTTTTTTATTGATTCTTTCCACAGCCGGATACTGACTATCTATTTCTACAGTCTGCAGGAAATCTTTGGCGGTAATGCTGCTAGCGACGAGTACCACATCGGACGTCATGTAGCCAATTTGTTTGTGGTCCAGACCTACGAGGGCCAGAGTGACATTCATGGTGAGTGCATATTTACGCGCCCAACCTGCCTTACCTTGACATGGGTTTCCGGGTCTCTTTTTTGTTTTGCTTTTTCTTTCGGGTAGATACACTAACCATTCGTATAGCGTTGATTCTGGGCCGAGCCATTACTGGAAAGCAGGCCTTTGTCTAGGACCGCCCCTTTCTGCCATCTATATATAAATTTCTTGTAGTATACATCATTAGATACGTGATACCTGTGTATGTATCTCACAATACACCTGACAACGCATTTTCCCGAAGAAAACCGGAGGGCGGTTGTCTGCCCCATCGGGGCGCCTCACCCGCACGTGACATCATAGAGGGGCGCGAAAAGAGTGAATCGGAAAAAAAATCGAAAGAGACCACCACTACCTATTGTAAAGCCATTCTGTATGAGTTACCCCATAATAGGCAAATATTCAAACCTATCAATAGAAACAAGATCAATACTGCTACCAGAGGATCCTCTATTCGCTCTGATTGAGAACAATGCTAGCCCTACAAAGGTCCTCCCAGACATGAGTCAGCAATAGATAATACAGAAATTAGTACATGGTGGCGTGTATTACCAATACACTGACCTGAGGATTACCAGTCAGACGCACCTGTCCGCCCAGCCCACTTTCTCTCAGAGTGTGGTTGCCCCCTCTTTCTTCTTCTCTCTTCTTCTTTTCCACACAACGACGTAACCGTACGTGGAACACATCTGGGATAAACTTCGATCTCTCTCTAACTCTCATTCATTCAGTCTCTCTCTCTCCACCTCACTTCTCTCGCTCGTCGTCATGGCTCTCAAGCGCATTAACAAGGAACTCACTGATCTGGGCCGGTAAGACGACCACTTTCTCACTCTGGAACCAACTGGTGATGCTAACCTCTCCGCCACAGGGATCCCCCGTCTTCTTGCTCCGCTGGTCCTGTCGGAGACGATCTGGTATATACAACCCCCTCCTTCCACCGCCTCTATCTCTCAAGCCCCGTTACTCAGTCGGTTTGGTCTTTGCGAAGAGCCTTATCGTGTGGCGGGGCTGAGGCTCACCAGCCCCTCCCGCAGATCGCCAGATAATAGTGGGATGTCATGGATGATGCTGACCGATGTCTTTTTTCTTCTCTTCTAGTTCCACTGGCAAGCTACGATCATGGGTCCTGTAAGTTGATCCCCATATTCAAACACCGCGCGACCGTGGGGCGGAATTCGATTTCCCTCCTTGCATATTACAGTTGGTCAGAGCCCAAGGTGTACCTGAATACTAACCCGCATTTTTTTTTTCACAATAGGGTGACTCGCCATACTCCGGAGGTGTCTTCTTCCTCACGATTAACTTCCCTACCGACTACCCGTTCAAGCCCCCCAAGGTTCACTTCACCACCCGCATCTATCACCCCAACATCAACTCGAACGGCAGTATCTGTCTGGACATCCTGAGGGACCAATGGAGCCCCGCCCTCACCATCTCGAAAGGTTCGTTACGACCCTCGACACGAAAGAACATCTCCCCTTCAACGTCGTGTCATGTCGAGATGTATCGTTGTCGCTGACTCATTTGCTTCTAGTACTGCTTTCGATCTGCTCCATGCTCACAGACCCCAACCCGGACGACCCTCTCGTACCCGAGATCGCCCATGTCTACAAGACCGACCGCCCGCGGTACGAAGCGACGGCTCGTGAGTGGACTCGCAAGTACGCTATCTGATCGGCAATTTTCCAACAAATCTGCCCAACACCCTCTTCTCCCTTCCGCGTGACCTCTCGGTTCGCCCTCTCTCCGACGCCCCTGCATTTCTCTTTTCATGTTTCTTCTCTCTGTTAGATTCAAACCCGCGAAGCCTGGCGTACCATGGTCGTAGAAACTTTGCGTGCTCCGACAACTTTTCCTCTGCTTGCGTGCGTGCTCGCAGCTTGCTCAGTTTCGAAACATATTTCCTGTGTGCTTGTGTTTGTGTGCTAGTTTCCGGGCAATGCCATATCCCAACGATCATTATGAGCTATTCTTTTTATCTTCTTCTCTCACTCTCCTTCTTTTCGTGCTTCTTTTGCATCCGGAGTTCAAGTTTCCTTTTACTTGGGGAGGTTGGAAAGGGTTTTCAGCATTCGGTGTCTTCACTTCCATCCTCACATGTCGAGACAAGACAAGAAAGAAATGAAGTTTCAAAAAAGAAGTTCTGGAAGGAAAGCCAAAAAAAGAAACACTACGCAAATCCAGCCCAACCTCATCCTCTCCTAATGAACGATTCGATGGATGGTGGGAAGGTGCTTCTTGTTCGTCTCAATTCGATTGTTATGCATTCTCGACGATGGTATCAGGTGGGAAGGGGACGAGTTTTAACCTGGGAAGACAGGGAAAGCAAAAACGGGAAAATCGGAGGGAGACTGAGCTTTTTTTTATTTCGTGGAATGGAGTGGAGGTGTCTACGATTTTATTCTTCTCTACTTTATTGTCGCAGATAGCACAATCCAGGCAGGCCGGTCTATGTGTTAACATTTTTCAGAGGGTTGAGTAGATTTATAGTTTGTAGTTTGTATCGCGCAGTTAAACTGGCTTTGTTGTTTATTGGGATAGTTCTTGATAGTATGCCCCGTGGATCATCGTGGGTTGGTCTCAATTCTCACCATAAGGGTTCTTTAGCCTACCATTCAAATACAGTTTTACCCTCATGAAGCATTAGGAAGGAACTGGCCTGGTACTATTGATAATGCGAGGCATAGCCGTATCTAGCGGGGTGCTGGAGATATAATTGCACCAAGCTAGACATGAGTGCCAGTGTGAAGGAGATCAGGTTCATTGAAATTTTGCTGAGATATGATTGAATCCTTTCTATCTATTCATAGTTCATATGTTGCTCGACCAGCTTGTATATAATACCCCTGGGGCTCGGTTGACTTTAGGGATAGAACATAACAACTTGTTGCCAGCCAAGCGATAGAAATTCTTTCTAGAGTTCTGCATTAATGTACACCGCAAATTTCCCAAATCGGGAGCTGGAAGAGCAGCCAAACTACTGGTAGATGGTTGTGGTGATCTAAGAAGTATGAGGTAGCCGTGAAGTGAGGATAGTTTGGCCTTGAAAGTTTGTATAGGTCTATTGCCCTTAGACTTCAAGCCTTGGGACGAGTCAACTCACACTGCACGCATGTATTGCTTCATTGCTTTGATTAGTCGTTTGCATATCGTTTGTCCTTTATCGAGAGAGTACTAGATATGGTGAGCCCTGGGGGTTCCCACTTTTAGCTAGTATCACCTCATCTCATTTCATCTCTCTCGCTAACCTACCGTTAGGCCATCAATATTGCCCTGTAACATGACCTCATTTCATAACTTTAGTGCTGATCCTGCAAGACTCTGAATGTGAACAAGCATTTCCCCCAGTTGTTCCATTGATTTCAAGAGGCCAAAGACTCTCAGGTACAAAATTGGGGCTATGTCAAACCTAACCAATCAGCATCTTCCATGCCCGCCAGGACCCTCCACCTCCTCAACACGAAGCGAGATGAGCCGAGAGATCCACCATTTTTACTCGTTCGCCGCAAATAGTTCTGTTTTAGTACCAAAAGAGCCTCAACGCCGTCGTGTCAGGGTCCGAAGATTTGATTTGCACCAGCAACCTTAGCCCCCAAAGACACCGCGCTACCACAAGGCTCTGACCCCCTTAAAACCTGGCCCTAAGCGAGTTCGGTCAGGTACGGCGGATCGCGTTTGGATAGTTTGTTATATAGAAAAGTAACTTGGCCCCCAATGGATTTTTCCTTCCTTGAAAACACAAAAATCTTTCCCCGCCGTATCCGGTGGAAGCTCAACTCGCGTCATGTTAGGACACAATTTGAAGGCGGCCTTGGCCGTTGCATTGCTGGCTGGCTCTGCAGCAGCGATCGATTTGAACATCAAAGATGAGCGTGAGTCCTGCGTCGCAACCAGACTATAACCCGAAGATGAAGAACACGAACAAAAAACTAACTAGTACCCGCCTCATAGAATCTATCAAGGATGCCGCCAAAACTGCCGCATCAGGTGCGATGACCTTCTACTCGAACCAGTCCTCCAACATCCCCGGTTTCGTGGACCCCTGGTGGGAAGGAAGTGTGCTTTTCAGCGTCATGATGCAATACTGGTCTCTTACCGGAGATGACTCCAACAATGACGCCGTGAGCGAGGGAATGTATTGGCAGCGCGGAGCCGACAACAACTACATGCCCATCAACGTCAGCTCGTACATTGGCAACGACGACCAGCTTACCTGGGGCCTTGCTGCTATGACCGCCGCCGAGCTGGATTATCCTCAGAAATCATCGATGCCGTCTTGGGAAAAACTCGCGGAGAATGTCTGGAATACTGTCTCCAGTCGGTGGGATACGGATAACTGCGATGGAGGTCTGCGATGGCAGATCTATCCTTACCAAAGTGGTTACAGTATTAAGAATGCGATTTCAAATGGTGCTTTGTTCGCTCTCTCGGCAAGACTGGGTCGGTTCACGAACAACCAAACATATGCGGATTGGGCAGAGAAGATCTGGGATTGGAGCGCGAAGACGCCCCTACTCAACGAGAAGACCTGGAATATTGCCGATACCACCTCATGCGAAGAAGACTGCAGCGACCATGATGATTTCCAGTGGAGTTTCAATTATGGCTTATACATGTCCGGAGCCGCTTACATGTACAACCAGGTAAGCTTGTTTTCAGTCTTGAAGCCTTCGGTGAACATTAAGAGCTAACGAAGACGACCAGACCGACGGAAAGAGCAAGTGGAAGAATGGCCTGACTGGCCTCCTCAAAACTTCCCAGGAATTCTTCCCTGAGAAATATGGTGGAAAGATCTTGTCCGAAATCACCTGCGAACGGACTTCGACATGCAACAGGAACGAAATCCTTTTCAAAGGCCTCTTCGCGCAAGACCTAGCCTTCATCGCCCAGGTCGCACCATACACCGAATCCGATATCTTGCCCTTGCTGCAGGGCTCGGCTTCCGCGGCTGCAAAGTCCTGTACTGGTGGTAAGAACGATGATCTTTGCGGCCTCAAATGGTACAATTCAAAGTACGATGGGTCAGAGGGTTTGGAGCAACAGATCAGCGCGACCGCTATCTTCGTTGCCAACCTGATCACTTTTGATCAAAAGGCACTCGCAACACAATCAACCGCGAAGAACAGCAATTCTTCTAGCACGACCAGTGGATCGCCATCTTCCACTAGCAATGGCACTACAGTCGTCACCGAGACTGCCAGTGCTAGCGGCGGTAAGGGTGATGGTAATGGCGCCGGTATGCTAGCCAGCGGACCTGTTGTGCTTATTAGCGGGATGGTGATGGGTATCCTGTCCATTCTTTAAGAAATTTTCATTGTCGTTCATTCCATTATAGGGATAGCGGTTTTCCCTTCTTTTTTTGTATTAGTACATACATGCCTAGTCACTTTCTTCATACCCGTTACTACCAGATGAGAACAGGCTCTTTTATTGATCTTCATACCAGACTAGTCGAAATGCATAGGTAGTACAATTGGTGTAGTATAAGTACCTCGGGAGTATTCCGTAGGAAAGGGAAATTTCGGAGTTCTCCAGTTTCCAATGACTCAAGTCAATTGCTTTCGATCCACTTTCTCGACCGATTGACTTGTCCCCGGATATGTAGCCTAGGAGACGGGGACGTCGGCTGAATATGGAGCATCTAAGACCATACGATATTTGCATGGCCTCGGTATTTCGTAGTTGGGCCGGAGCTCGCGCTTGGCGACCCCAACTCACTCCCCACACGTGGGATTAAGATTCCGGGGTGCAGTGCGAAAAAGCATCGGAAGACCTATGTTCGCAGGATGAGATATCAAGTTTGCTTTGCTCTTTTCTTCTTTTCATGCGTTGTTAAATATGACTGGCCTGTTCACTGCTGTATTCCTACACTGTCAAATGAACATCCAGATTTCTCAGTCAGAGTAGGACTACTCCGTATGTAGGTCCGAAAAAAAGCTTCCAGAAGGTGCCGATCAGCGCGGTCCTGTTAGCTTCGACACGCCCAACGCCATGGTTCCGACGGATAGCTCCCGAGCTGCAATATCTAGCGTAGGCTCCCGCGCCTCCCATAGGGCAGATATTGAGATTCGGACACATACATAGCTGCGCAATCTGAACTCAATTCTCGTAGTCGGTGTGGGACTAGGAACCCTCGACTCGTTTCATCCCCTGGGGTCCCTTTTTTTCGGGCGGCGCTAGAAAATCCGAACCGCGATGGTACTCCGGTGTGTGTGCATCTTGCAGGGCCAAGAAGTTGTTTTTGTTAAGTCTTGGCTACCTGATTATGATTAGCATACACTCTTACCTATGCGGATTTGGTGAGATGCGATGAGATAGCGACACCGGGCATGGTTCCACTACTCACTCCACCTTGACCCAGTTCCCGTAAAGATAGGAGGAACCTCCTATTCGGAACGGCCAGGCCGAGTGGCGAGAACAATAAATGATGGTACCAAAGGATCTGGAGTAATCGTCGGTACGTACTCCGCAGTCGGGGTCATGCGGTTTGGCCTCTTTCCCCGGGTTTTCAGAGAATATGGAGAGATTAATACTAGAGACATTTTCTCCAGTCTGTTCCCCGGCATGCAGAACACAAACAGGACAACTTACCCCGAGATGGCCAGGACCCCCGCGGGCCGATGGGGATGATGATATTGAGAGGTAGCCAATAGCCTTGCAAGAATTTGGGATAAGCTCTGGGGCGCGACGGAAGGCGAAGACAAGCCCTGATAGAAGATGTCGCCGTGTGAGCGCTGATTGGACGAAAGCACCGAACCCGGAACACCGAGCCAATCAGAGACACGGCACATTTATCGCCGCCTGGAAAGACCGCCGACCGGTTACCCCAAAACCATTACCTAACGCTAATGACAGATTGGGTTGGTCGTAGCGGAGTGCTTTGTCCCCGCGATTGTGGGCGAGAGGTCGTGGAGAAGTTGGACAGGGCAGGTGATATTCGAGATTTGTCGTCATGGCTGACTGGGCTGGGTCGACTTTTTCATGGCGAGTGTCCCCCGGGTTTGTCTTTTGATCTTACTCCTTGCCGTTTCAATCCTCCATACCTCCCCATACCCTTCACTATGGCAGACCTCGATCCCGCAGAATTAAAGGCGTATCATGATGATGATGCTCAGTTGGCCCAGATGGGCCACCGGTCAGAATTGAAGCGGCAATTTTCTATGTTGTATGTTTGGTCTCGCTTTGTTTTTCAGCTGAGGGCCCGACCACCAGGCTAATGTGATCTCTTGTATAGATCGATGCTGGGTTTGGCATTCGCTATTCTTAATGTATGTTCACCGCGAAGAAGAAGAAACAACCAAATCAAAGAAACCTCACGCCAGAAAGGGCATTCGTTGACTGACCTTTGTGATAGTCATGGACTGCGTTGTCTACAAGTTTATCCCTGAGTTTGACCTCCGGAGGTCCGACAAGTGTTATCTGGGGTATGTCCCATTGGATTCTAGTGCATTGACTTGAATTGAATGCTGACAATGTTCATTAGGTCTTCTTACGGCAGGTATCTGTAGTTTGTGCATGGCCGCCTCCCTAGCCGAGTTTCTCTCTGCGTACCCGACGTGAGTGGCAAACCTCCTTTTTGACCAGAAGGAGTGAAACTAACGAGATTAGTGCTGCCGGCCAATATCACTGGGTTGCTGTTAGTATGTATTCCTGAAATTGGCATCAACCTATGCAGACATTCTCTAACCTCCCACAGTCTCCCCTACGAAATGGATGCCCCTTCTCTCGTGGATCACCGGCTGGGTGAACTGCGCCGGTTGGGTGGCCTTGACCGCGACCGGTGGATTGCTGGGCAGTCAATTGGTTGTGGGCGTCATCGCTCTCATGAATCCGGTATGTCAATATCTTAAGTTCCATCAGCGAGATACAATCTAATACTGGTAAAAGGGATATGAGGCAGAGCGCTGGCACCAGTTCCTCATCTATATAGGTTATAACATTGCCGGCTTTTGCATCAACGCCCTCGCAAACAGTCTCCTACCCTATTTCAACAAAGCTGCCTGTTAGTGATTCCTTATGAAAGCCCTGTTGGTTCATTTGACTAACTCGCTATTCAGTTATGTGGTCGCTGGGCGGTTTTACTATTATCTGTATCACTGTTCTCTCCTGTTCTTCCCCCGACTACAACAACGCAGAGTAGGTTATTAACTATACATCTAATGGGGTAACTTGAGCTGACAGCTGCAGCTTCGTCTTCCGCAAATTCATCAACGAGACGGGATGGCCTGATGGAATTGCTTGGCTCCTGGGTGTATGTTCATTGGTTGAGATCTCTTTTCCCTTTTCTAACCAGTCAATAGTTGTTGCAAGGTGGTCTCGGTGTCACTGGATTTGTAAGTACAGCCTTTATATTTTGCATTGTCATCCGATCGAAGCTAATCGAAAATTAGGATGGTGTCGCCCATATGATTGAAGGTACTACCACAATGACACGATTGGCATACCAAGATGACGGCACTAACAGATAATAGAAATCCCGAACCCCTCTGTGGAAGGGCCCAAGATTATGATTGCATGCGTGGCAATTGGCACTGTTACTGGATTTATCTTCCTCATGGTCCTGCTTTTTGTGGCTGGCGACATCGAAACCATCATTGAATCTTCAGCTGGTCCACTTTTGGCTATCTTGAAGAACGCTACCAAGAGCAATGCGGGCGCAATCTGCCTTCTGATGTAAGAGCGAACATATTGTTGCGGTCGAGAAATTGATACTGATTGAATACAGCTTCCCTCTGGTTTGTATGCTGTTCACCACAACTGCTATTATGACTACTAGCAGTCGTATGTGCTACGCCTTTGCACGGTATGTTTCCTGCTATCCTTCGAGACTGCTTTGTGCTAAAAGATACTTAGTGATGGTGGCCTCCCTTTCTCCCGTTTCTTCTCCAAGGTCCACCCCAAGCTCAAGGTCCCGCTAAACTCCTTGTATCTCAACCTGGGCCTTGTCATTGTCTTCGGCTTGATCTTCCTGGGATCTACTAGGTGAGCAGCCCCCCCGGTCAGAAAATGGTTCTCATTTACTAACGTGAGTAGCGCCTTCAACGCTATCGTTTCAGCCTCCGTCGTGTGGCTGGACCTCGCCTACGGAATGCCCATTGCGATCAACTGTATTCGGGGACGCAACATGCTTCCCGAGCGACCCTTTGTCCTCCCTGTGGTCGTCGGTTGGGTGCTTAACCTTGTAAGATTATACGCTTCTGAAACTCATTGTGCATTACTGATATTTTGTGATAGATCTCCCTGGCCTATATCGCTTTGACTACTATTCTCTTCCTCTTCCCTCCCGAGCTCCCTGCCACTGGCAGCAACATGAGTATGTGTCTACCAAAGTGCCGAGGAACTCATGGACTCAAGCTAACTATCCATAGACTACTGTGTTGCCGCATTTGGCATTGTGGTCGTTCTCTCCACAGCCACCTGGTTTGCCGATGGCCGCAAAAACTACGTCGGCCCCCGTATTGAGGTTGAAGTGCTTGCTGGAGAAGTTGGCCACTCTGAACAGCCGATTGCAGCCATTGAACACTACGGTGAAAAATAAGCAGTGTAAATTAGCTTCAAATTGTGTTTTACTAAATTGATAAGGGGAAGATGTATATATTTTTATGTACTTCATGGATATTTGCCTTTTGTGTCGTATCTTTTTAATTATTTTTTCTTTTGTATACTTCACACGTGATAGATGCCGTTCTAATTACGTCATGGCTACTTTCTGCCTCAGGCGGTCATTCCCAACAATCCACTACCACGGCGGATCCGAACCTCCGTTGAGATTGTGATGGGCTGATCTCGACACAAGTCAGAGCGAGAGGCAACTTTTTCAGAGTGAATTTGCCCATAAATTGCCGTGCGTGTTTGTCAGTGCGGCAACAACTTGAACACATCGCTAGTGGGACGTACCGTGAGCTTCGGGTCATTACGAACTTCCCCACCATACGACTTGAACACTTGAACAACGCGAAGCAGGACTAAAGCACCGCCAGAATGTTTCAGCTTCCCATTCCCTCGCTGAAGTCATTCAAGCTTTTTTCATTTGAGAAACAGGTGATCGATATTCCGTCGATCAAGGTGTATGACCTTGAGAGCGCACAAGAGAAGCCAGCTCGAGCGCTGAAGCATTTGCTCAAGTTGAACCATGCCAATTTTGCCATTTTATACAATGCACGGAAATTTCATAACCATGCCCCTCATGTGAGTTACTAGGATACTGGGAGATTTGTTGACTTGTCATGGTGGGCTCCTTGGCTGATAATCTCGGTAGCTCCTCAGTGCTGCTTTCTTGCAGGGTGCCGACGCAGAGGATCTGACCCGATTATATGAGAATGAGTCCAAGTTATTAGATGAATGGGAAGATGCGCCCGCCGAGGTGACTACTTATGATTGGAGGGATCATCTAGGACGCCGGGAGTATGCTCACAGCTTAACTCGATCCCCGGTGCTCATCAAAGTCCGATGCTGACGCAGATTGCCAGATACGAAAAAGCTTTCGTGGATTTCTTTGAAGATGAGCTGGTCAGATTTGGGTATGACTGGAAACAGGTCGTTGAGGAATATCTTTTCTCGGGCAAAGAGCCCGTATTCAACTCAGTCATAGCAGACTGTATGTGCCCTTTCCAAGCATGATCTTATCATTCCCGAATTGAGATTACTGACTTGTCCATTCAGTGGGGCATCCATTAATTCATCTCGCCTATGCTTATGAGATGTCCAGTCGAGAAGTCGCAATGGAGGCACTAAGCCTAGCGGCAGTGTGCTACAACAACATCCACAACTATTTGGACGATCCGGTCCCTAATAAAATCGAAGCATCCTATCATACAACATCGGTCTTTGAAATATTCGACAAAGTCCGATCTGATAAGCAACTCGACGGACTTTTTGTCACACCGGGTGACCATAATATCGAAAAGCTATTTAGCAACCGAGAAGGGGTTCTCTTGAACCACTGGAACGCATGGACACTCGAGAACCCGATCGAGCAGTTCCGTGAAAGTCAGGAGCTAGCCGCCGCACTACTAGTTTCGACACACCAGGACCCCTCGACAAAGTACGACTTTTTCCTTGTGCACGTCTTAACGACCAGTCATGCTGTCCGGGTCTTGCTACCTCTAATCCCACCGAAATTCCAGGTCCCGCTCGTTCGACAATGGTGGCTGATAACCTTGGCGGTTTACATTGCCCAGCTCCGACCTGAGACACCGCTAGAGAGCATTCAGAATGTCGACTTGAAAGGAAGAGACTGGGACTGGGTTTCCGAGCAAGCTGTCAAGGGAGAAAATTCTACAGATACACACTATGTCAAAGCGCTCCGATCGTTACGGGAGATGGCCTCGACCTGGGGAGATCATGACGAATTTTTCCTTAAAGCTGCCGTGAAGTTTGCAGAAGAGTTTAGTGGATGGGGTGGATTTGTTTGATATATACATTACATTGTGGAACGTCAATCTTATTGCTAATGATGTCTTACCAAAAAAATGTATTCATTATTGTCATGACCGTAAATACTCTGCTACGCTCTTCCCCATCGAACCGCGCTCTTGTACTTGAACATCCCGGGCGCGTTACCCTTTTGGAGGCCCTCAATGGCATCGGCAAGCTCTGGACCAGTACCTTCTGCCTTGATATCGGCCAGAGGGTAAAGGTAAGTCTTGAAACAGAAAAGAACAAACTTTGTTTCAGGGAGGCGCGTCAGAGATTGAAGCTCGATTCGAAGATTGGCCTTTCAGGGTTAGCCTCACTCCATATAATACTCTTGCAATTCAGCTCACCGTTGAATGATCGACATCTTCGTCGGCAACAAATTCATCACCTTCTTTGATGTGATTCCCCGCCACATTGATTAAACAATCACCAGTTTGAATATTCCACTATAGACATCGATGGAATCAGTGCTACGCCTCTCGGAAAGAAATGTAGAATAGACACGAGTTAAGATACGAGAACTCACATTCATTCTCTTCACACTTTTCCCAACCTCAAGCTTCCGAAAGAATCTCTCCATACTAGGCCCGATCTTTTCATAGGCCGGCACAGGGCCATGAATACCCTGAAGGTCTAAGCCCAGCTTTGAAGATGGATCGAATCCCGTCGGAAAACAGCAAGTAAATGCTAGACATCTATGAGTTGTCTCCGTTTCTTCGAGAAGGAAGATATCCTCTTCTACCGTTTCGCCGAGTATCCGGAGACACGTCTCTGGGTCCTGCGGTGGAGTTGTAGGGAATGATTTGCCAGTTGCTCTATTATGAAATATTTTACCTTGGAAAGTGAAAAGATCCGGGAAGCGGGCGGGTAGATGGTGTGTCAAGAGATAGGAGTAGAGCTCATGAACAGCACTCTCTCCACCGGGTAGACAGCCGTGGACGGTGTTTTTGTATTCGGCAATTATATTTCGGCGGATAGTTACTCGGTCGAGATACTGGTTGTCAACCGTGATAAGACCAGATATAGGCTCAGGTTTGATGGCTTTAGATAACAGTTAGTAATACTCTTCAATTTACGGGTTTGGAGCCGAAGTACCCATGGTTATGTTATAGATCGGTCTATATGGTCGTAATTGCCTAGGCTTCTGGGCCCGCCAGTCAAAATTGGGAAGCGGCTCTATTGGAGGAAAGTGCTTCTTCTTGGAATAGCTTGATAGTCGCTTGGCCCATTGCTGTAAAGCTATCAGAACACGTGAGACAATGAAAAATGGTACATGTACACAACATACCGTGTTTCCAACATTGTAGAGGACTACTGCTAGGACGATTGAGATGGGAAGAAAAGCAGTAGTGCTTGAGTTTATGATAGAATCAAACCGAATAGAGCACATCATCGTGATTTATTCTTTTTAACCACCAGATTGCTTCACGAAAGATCTGGAGGAGGAACGATCGTTGGCGAGAAGGAGGAGCTATATAGGAGAGTCATATGCCCCTCATTATTATTTAGATCTAATCATGATTGTAAATAGGGTCATTTGACCAATTGAAAAGCATTTAGCTAATTATAATTCTTATGATGCGGGGTCGACGCGCTCCGAGACCGCCTGCTCTGGGAATAATTTCCTATTCGGGAGAGTCCAAGAGATTGATGACCCATAACTACCTCGCTCATGGGTCAGTTAATCAGACTCCATTGGGCCTTAATGAGAAGCTGTAGATTGAGCCATGATGTTCACAAAATTCGATTACTCGGAAATATCAGACTGCAGACTTGCATGCTAGCTATGTTTTCGTGGCTAACTATAGTTAAGCCAATGATATGACACATGTCACGTGATAAATCTCCGGCTTGGCGCCGGGTCCACGCCGCAGTTTTCTGTTCTGCGAGGCCGCGACTCAACGATCATACAAGTCCCCACAGAACATCCTAGCAGGTCAAGCTACTTGTCATAGGTATTGGATCACGGATATTGACTCAATTGATTCTCTCCGTTCTCCGTCACCATGATCTGCAGAAGCTGCCGAACAAGCATGCTCTCGCGGCTACCGCAACAACAGGCCGCGACATGGACCGCATCATTATCCTCGCGCCAATTGCCCATTGTTCGGAGCCAGTTCAGAAATTACAGCGATAAGGCACCTAATCCCTCGGTGGCTGCTCCTCCTTCACCCTCCACCCCCCGCCAACCCGCCGCCGGTGACAGCACGACTCCCTCCGCTATCTCTTCCGCAACCCCCGGCGTTTCTCAGCCTTTGAGCACCCCCGGGGAGGTTCACATCGATGTGAACCCGGGTGCGGCCACTAAGGCTGCGCAGCGTCCACCGAGCAGCTGCGCAGCTGGCACGAGGATCAACGGCCTGAACTACTTTAAGAACAAGCCCGAGGTGTTCGCCAAGGAGGACCACGAGTACCCCGACTGGCTTTGGGATCTGCTGGGCGATGCCAGCAAAGACGCCAAGGCTAAAAAGGGCGGTGTTGACCCGGCCAGTACGTGGATTCCTCTTCCTACCCAATTTACCAATCAATTCCAATCTCAATACTAATCTTACTCCATCACAGCCCTGAACAAAAAGCAACGAAAGCGCTACGAGAAGAAGCTCGCCGCTCGCACCGAGAAACTCCCTCCCAAGATTCCCGCCCACCACCACGCCGAAGATATCACACCCGCTTCCTACAACCGCGATGCTCCCACTGATGGCCTGACTGATGCCACGGACGGCCTGGACAAGCGCTTGGAGGTTACCAAGAGCGCGCGTGAGGCGCGGCGAAAGGCGATCAAGGAGTCCAACTTCTTGCGTGGTCTTTAAATAGTTTTTGCTTGGGCTTCAAGCAGTCATCCTAGGAGCGATTTGTGTTTTTATTCCGCATGAGCGGTTGGGTCCTCGTCCTCTTGTGATGGGGACCACGGTATTCGATCTGGAACGGGGCCCCGACCTCTACCCCCAGACCCGGACATCCAACATGTATTATTACGTCGATTGATTTTTCTCGATTGTGGCATATATATCAATGATACTGATCTACATAATCATTCCCTTCCCATCCCATCAGTGATAACCATACCCAGCTTTTTTTTGTCTTCACCGTAAATGAAATGCAGCCATCGAGATATCTCACTCTTGCACAGGAATCGGCCACTCCTTCTCCTCACCCTGGCCCTCCAACCATGGCCTACACGCGTCCCAAAGTGCCTTCAATTCCCCATCACCGAGACCCATCAGCTTCTCAAAGAACGCGGTATCCATCCGCTCAAAGAAAGCCAATATACAGCAGAACATCAAGTCCGCATACCCAGCCTTCTCCCCTTCAAGAAAGGGCCCCTTCTTACCCTCCTGCCCTTTCAACATGCTCACTAACGTCTGACTCTCCGCCTCCACAGTCTTCCAGATCTCATCCAACGCAGCCTGGTCCTTGGGCCGAACTTCTGATAGCGGTTTCCCGAAAGTCACCGCCCGGGTACGACTGAAGTACTCCTGGCCACGGGGGTCCAGATGCTGGAGCACATTGGGTATGACCAGCTGGCGGATTCCAGGGCCCATGCCTCCAGCGACTTTGCTGAGAGCGACGAAGAGGGCGTAACTTGCGTCGCCGGAGGGGAAGAGCGGGGGGGGAAGGGAAGACTTTATCCAGGTGGAGGACGATCGGGAGAGAGTCCATCATTGCGCCGTGGGGATTGGTGGATATGGAGTCTTTGTGGATGATTGTGGGGAGAGTGTATGGGTAGCCGGCTGCATTGGGGGTCACATCGAGGCTTTTGAGTAGAGGGGCGATGTCCGGGTAGGATATCCAGGATTGGGTGTAGGGGATTCCTTTGAAGTTGAGGACGGCGCGGACTTTGAGAGTGTTTGGGGACCAGGATTTGGAGGAGCCTGGAATGGTCGATGTCAAGGTCAATTCTACCGAATCGTGAGGGGAGGCTGACCTGGTAGAGTGGAGGTGATATCAAAGAGGTGGACGGGTTCGGAGGATGACATTGTGAGTACTTTAGTGTGTATATAAACGGTGATTCTACTGCAATTATATCGGGAAGATTGAAGTATTCAAGTTGATTGGGGAAATTCTTCAGGGGTTGAGTGGTTGGAAGGTGTTTTATAGTTGAGGGGGAAGCGGGGGGGGCCTGGCTTAACACCGATGCACTACAAGGCTTGATTTATAAGGATTCGGGGTGCTAGTTACGAGTTAGTCTCCAGAAATTGGAGGCCGGATCCCATTTACCCTTGCCATGATACGCCTTTATCTAGTCCCCGAGCTTAGCAATGCCCCACTCGAAGAAGGCTGGAAATCAAGCGTCACTCGTGATCTTCTACCCAATCATCGTTCCATTCGGTTTCATTCCATGGAACCGTAGACAGTGCCAAACATGCCACACTGCGAATATAGATACACGTTCACGGAGTATTAGTTCTATATCCAACTAACATTGCCCAGAAAATTGCCAAGTCAACAGCCACGTATGCGGAGTGGAGGGTCCATCCCGCTTCACGTGGCCCCTCCCGACCCTTTTTTTGTGGCTGTTTCTGTTTCTGATTTTGTTATTGCTTACTCTTTGAATCCCTCCAGCAATCACCTCAAAGAACAAAGACAGCCTTCTCCAGGCTACAAACGTGGGCGTCGGGATCTATATCGACGTTGCACTGGGTGATCAACATTGCGGCCCCCTCCATCTTCTACCAATCGAATCGGCCCTCCCGCTAGACTCTCCCACAGCTTGGGGTGAGAGTACCTGAGCAAACCTGGCTCCATCCTAGGACCTAATCATCTGGAACTGGAATAGTCGCATTAAAATCATTCTCCAACTTTGACTAAGAGGACCTGCATTGCCGGATACTTCCTATTGGGAGTACTACTGCAAAAGCCATGGAAGATGTGGAGAATCTCGTTGAGCGGGCGCGTCATCTCTCGCTGCACCCGTTAGAGTCGAAACCTATTGATAAGTTTCATGTCGGCATTGACACGCATCTATTGCGGATCTATGGGTCTATTGTGGCGTCTGAGACGACCAAGAATTATTTCCGCCAGACTGTCCAGGTGGAGACTGTCCCTGGTGCGGATGTATCGATTTCGGATCCTCTCGTCTCGATCGATGCTTTTCGCTCGTACATGAAAAATGAGGTTTCAAGGGCTCAGGCTCCTGCTGAGGTGATGGATTGCTCGGCTCCTCTTTGTGATTACTTTGTTTCCTCCAGTCATAATACCTATTTGACTGGTAATCAGTTGTACAGTGATGCGGCTGCAAGTGCGTATACATCGGTGAGTCTAGCAGCTGATTTGCTTAAGCTAGATGCGCTCTTGATTTAAGATTTGAGGATAAGGTTGTTTATTAGTCTCTCAATGTGTGGCTAATAAATTTCTAGGTCCTTCTACGTGGTTGTCGCTCGGTTGAGATCGATGTTTGGGACGGCGAGCCGCTTTCACCTGACTCAAGTGAGAATGAAGAGACAAGCAGCGAGAGTAGCAGCGACTCGGAAAACGAAACCAAGAAACCAAAGGGGGAAAACCAGGGGCTAAAGAGTCGGCTTAAGCAGAAGATCATGGCAAAAGCCGAGTCTGAGGAGAAACTCGTTCAAAGGTTGCCCAAGTCTGTGAGTGCGAAGCTGGGGCTCAAAAGCAAGACACCAGATATCACTGTTGTACCGTCTACTACAACAGAAGTCCCCAATATTTCCACCAGTGCGAACGCGGATGTTGAGAAAGAAGGAACCAAGTCAGTTACAGGGCCGCTTTTAACCCAAGGAGCCATCAAGGGAGAGCCACGAGTCTTGCATGGACACACTCTGACCAAAGGGGCTTCTTTCCGTGAAATTGCCTATGCGATTAGGGACAGCGCTTTTGTGACGAGTGATCTGCCAGTAATCATCAGCTTCGAGGTCCATGCCAACCTAGAACAACAACAGATTATGGTTGATATCATCCACGATGCGTGGAAGGGTTTATTGGTCGAGGTCCCGGCTAATACCCCGACAGAAAAACTGCCAACTTTGGCACAGTTGAAGGGGAAGATCCTAATCAAGGCCAAGTCGTTGCCACTGAAGGGGGCAAAAGAGATCGATGAAGAAGCGAAGGATGAAGAGAGTGAGACAGAGGAATCTGAGGATAAGTCCGCATCACAGAACCCGAAGCCCGCGAAGCCTGTGAAGATCCTCGAGGCTTTGGCAAAGCTGGCTATTTATACGCGGGCATATCACTTCAGCCACTTTGATCAACCTGGTAAGCATTCGCACTTGGATGCTAGATTGAGAGAAACGCTGACTTGGCGACAGAGGCCAAGGACCCGGTCCATATCTTCTCGCTGTCTGAAAAGGGCGCGCGGGATGCCCACCTAAACTACCGTGACGCCCTATTCGAACACAATCGATCGTCCATGATGCGCATCTATCCCTTCGCCTTCAGAGTGAACTCTTCAAACCTGGACCCATCTTTCTACTGGCGGCGAGGCGCGCAGTTGGTTGCCTTGAACTGGCAGAACATGGACAAAGGCATGATGCTCAACCACGGGATGTTCGCCGGCACGCAGGGATGGGTCACCAAGCCGGCGGGGTACAAGAGCTCGGAACCGCACGCCAATAGCATTAGTCGTGAGACGCTCGAGCTCACGATCGAAGTCTTCGCGGCTCAGGACTTATCACTCCCGCCCAGCGACCATAGCGAGAAATGGTTCCGCCCGTATGTAAACTGCCAGTTGCATGTCGAGGAGCCTGAGAGTCTGGTCGCTGTTGGACAAGACGATGTGAGCTCAGATTCCGAGAAGAGCAGTTATCGCCGTTGTACAAAGAGTAAGTCGGGCATCAACCCGGATTTCGAGGCGCAGAAATTGGAGTTTCCGGCTGTGAGTGGAGTGGTTGAGAAGCTAAGTTTCCTCCGGTAAGTTGTCCTGCGAATATCTTTGACCTTGCCTTCGTTTCCTTTTTTTTCCAAACCATTGTTGTCCCACCTGGTGCCACCTGTGCCTCGTGCATTTGTATCACACAGCCGCATCGACAGGGGTGATCCTTGCGATATCGAGCTTGAAGAATTCGTCATGCAAGAGCTGTTTGGTCAGATATTAAACATGGGCTTGCTCCTGAGTCTTTGCAGCTGCTCTTCTGGGCCAGGACTGCATCATTCTGAGAGAACCGTGCCAGAACGTTCTCCCGAATTCCCCGCATTCGCTGGACATGTCGTACCACCACCCTGAGTGTCCCCCGACTAACAGCATTTTGCATGTACACAGGTTCAAAATCAAGGATGACGAGATCGGTCGCGACTCACTGGCCGCGTGGGCGTGCATTCGGCTTGACCGACTTCGAGAGGGCTACCGGCTCGTCCATCTTCTCAACAGCACTGGAGAAAAGGCAGGGGGTATATTATTGGTTCGCATCACGAAGAAGACGTCCTGAGCAAGCAACATGTGATGGGTCACTTTGTCTGGAATCTCTCTGCGGTGCAGCACATATCTCTTTTTATACAAGCTCAGGGGCTCAAATTTATCTCTCATTTAAGATCACGAGCCCATACAGCTTATCGCGCAGCGTACTGTAGTCAAGGAAAGGACTGTCGAGTGCCACATATCAGGTTTCTTTAGCGCAGCCACATATGACAAGCTACGAATCGTATCGTCCTATTGTGGAGTGGGTTGTCATCGTCATCCTCCTGCGAGGGCTCTGCGGCTGTGCTGCATGTCATTCCATTTCGGTATCTGAACTCCAGCCTGCTGATCCTCGATGTGGTAAGGCCATAGCATATGTATGAGATATTTGCCGAGTTCGATGGCCCAGCTCGTCATTTTCAGAGATCAGATGAGCACGGCCGTGAGTAACATTTCAATGCAGCGCCGTTAAAGCAAGGAGGCTCCGGTGTGATGCTGTGCCACAGCTCCCTGAGAGGGCCCAAGGCTGCAGCAAACAGCGCATGGCAGAAATGCTACGCAGTCAAAGAGGCAAACCTGAAGAATTGGGTGCTGTACCACAGGCAGCCTTCGACGTGCTGTTTGTATGCAAAGAATTTGCATGCTGCAGTGCATTTCCAGGCTAGACGTGCGGCATGCGCGGCAACGCTGTTGACTGAAAGGGTCGATTGGAAAGAGTATTCAATAGCGACATCAAGAGGCGAGATTTTTGGGCAGAAATATGAAGGTGATGTGATTGATAAGGAAGGAATGGGCTTCCATTCGTAAATAATCACGCTGACAAGGGTGACCCTGGACCAGCGAGAACGTGGAAAGCCAAGGGTCTGGGTACATACGACAGCGCCGGCCATGCGACAACCCAGGCCAGCAATGCAGTGCCAGCAGCAGGATACCGGTAGTTACATTAGTCTACCTAAGCAAACAAGAAAGTTATGCTGCATTATGCGCGCCATCCAGGCCCACCAAGGTGGATTACCATGCGGCGTGCCGCTCCAGGGAATTGAAACCCCTGGACATCGCTTGGATGGCCATTTATTTTCGAGGCCTTGGAACGTCGGTGAGCAAAAGCAAAGGTGTTGAAAGGCTTGCGTGGGGGCTGTTTGTGCGGTGCATATCCCGAGGGGTTCAGGGACAGGGGGCCAGTCAAGGTGGAGGGGATGGAAAGATCGACATGCCAAGCGACATGCATCAGATTGATCATCATGCGGCAGTGGAGAGAAAAGGGAAGCAGAGGTGATCGGTAAATCCTCCGATTCCATGATAAGGTTGAGGTGACGAGTGGCAGCCGTGGAAGAGAGTCTCTTATACGGAGTACAGTGCTTGACTCGGGAAATAGTGATAGATCGGCGATGTGATGACGAGGACCAAGGAAGTGGATTCTAGGCTATGCCCTTGTTCGGTCACCTCACCGCATCTGTCGAAAAGCCATGTTGAGCGAGCCGCTGTCTCAGCTGAGAGGGTCTCTGTCGTGATAGACGATGGTGGAGGTGGGATATGAAGAGTGTGGAGGGGAGGGTTCATGCGTGGCACCCGCTGACAGCTTGAATTGGCATGCAGTGTTCCGCATGATTGGAGCGTATGGAAATATTTAGACTTGGAAAGACAGTCAAAACGTGGAGATGGACCAATAATCGGAAGCCATCGAGCTGACTCGCTTAGCCCCTGATTGCGACCCCCCGCCGAGGTCGTCCGAGGCCGCGATCTGCTCCCAGGTTCCAGATTGATACGTCAACTTTGCTCGAAAAGCCCTGGCTCGATTGACGAGATGCGTGGTGCACTACTCCGTAACTCGATAGATTTCTCGCTGTTTGTGCCCGATATGGATTTCATCCGCTCCGTCACCGGCATCGACTCGGCGTCGCAGCAGGAGCAATACCCACAGGGTATTAACAGCAGGCATGAAGGATGCAGAGCAAACACCAGAATAACGAACACCTGCGTGCTCGGACTACTCGGGAGGAGCCGAGTCTGTAACCGTGATTGGATGTTGGCATAAAGTGGCGCCCGCGCTAACAAAAAGCAATGCACTGTGATCCCTGGATCAGGCCAAACTTGCCTGACTGGTCGATCGCAAGTATCGATGCCTCCAAATTTCATCCAGTCTCCATGGAACCAGCACTCTCTTTTTCCCACGGGAACTTCCGAAAGAAGAGCAAGAAAATCCTGCGATCTTCAAACCCACCGATAAGATTTGGCTCGATCGCGGGCTTGCAAAAAACTGGGTTTAGACGCAGACGACGAGGGTTTGCGCTTCCATTCCCCTTTCGGTCGTCGTGCTTTATAAGGCCCCTTTCAGCCCAGTCTTCTTCCAAAAGTTGGAAGCAAAAGAGGCCAGCAAAAAAGAGAACAAGAAAGTGAAATTGGATTATCCTTGTTGTTGCCATTCAAAGATTCGCTCTAGCCCAAGGCACCGCGCAGCTGCTCGAGAATAAACATCCTCCCCATCGCCTTCAATCACAATCATGACCAACTCCCAAGAGTGTGGCGCCCCCCGTGTGCTCGGCCTCCCCCCACCGTGAACAAGGTTCGTCCGCCGAACTGAATCGTCGGTACTGGGGACTCTAGGATCAGCCCAAGTACTTTTGTGAGAAGCTGCTAACATTCCGGCTTAGATGCCCGGTATTCGGTGTCCCAGTTGTGAAGCAAAGGGTCAAGAGGTCTGGGTTATCCCTGGGAAGAGCTGTCATGTCTGTCATACGCCCTGTGCTTGAATTCCCACATACCTCATCCGATTCTCGTCATCCTCTACCTTCCAACTCGCATCATGGGCTGGCTCAAGAATAGCCACTCAGCCGCCAGACCTCCCAAAAGAGGATGTATCATATGACCGTCAAAAGGGCATTGAGCGACTACACGGCGTTCCATTCCCATTTCCAACCATTTCTACGGCGTTCTCACCAATACGATTTGAGAATTCGTCTCAAAAGTCTCTCCGACAGAAGCCTCTACCGCCATCATAGGTACGGGCCCCGAAGAGGCACTGACTCAGATGACAGGGTCATCGGGTCTTTTTTCTACTTCGGTGACCAGGAACTAGAAACAGCGTTCCAAGGCGAGGACTTTCTTCCTTCTCTTTGTGATTTTGATATCATCTTGACTCCGAATTTTGCATGTGGAGTCCACCCGCGCCGTATGCTAGCCGACGTTAATATAAACATATTTTCCATTCAAAAGAAGATCCTGCTCTTTGTATATTTAGACTCATTCTAGCTCACGATCTACTTTCTAGAACCCCCCTTGTTCGTACTTTTGTCCCCGTATACATATACACGTGACAGTTGGCAATGACATCATCCCCCTCCACACATGCTGCTTCCGTTAACAATAAACCAACACATTGTCAACCCTGGAACACAAGATAATCAATACATTTCTTTTTTCACGGTCACTTAAGAGAAGTGCAGCATGGCGGACACATACCCCATCGGTAGTCGCTCGGAGAGCGAGCGTTTGGTACGGGATTGGGGCTTCAAACATGTCTTCACCTGGTCAGATGGAAGGTATGTCGATATATTTGAATGTCTAGTAGTACATGCGATGTATCAAGAAGTAAATGTACACTAACTTAGACGATCCAGTAATGCTTACTACTCGCCTCACACGCATGATGGCCTTACAACCCACCTCATCCGCCGAGGTACCTTCACGGTCACCTATCCGGAAGACAACTCTAGCATTCACGGCGGCGAAGTCAAAAAAGAAACTTTTAGCGTTGGAGCAAGAATTGATGTGCCTGCGGGGAAAGTCCATGAGGTTTGGATCGGGGATGAGGGGTGCGAGTATGTGATTGGGGAGTAGACGACTTGTCTCAGGAAATACAGAAGCATTCAGGTTCTTCTTGGGGATGATCGTGGAGAAACCAATATATCTGAGAGTTTACGAAGAATTAGAGATAATATAGTCATGATTATTCAAGTTATACCCATGCATCAAGCTGGGTATTTGGTCTGTTTCTATATCGAGGAGCACGATTGAATATTCCTATTTTCTAGACAACGCCTGCGTGGTCTAGTTGTGTCTAGTGCAGAAAGCGGAAATCGATTCTACGAGGACCAATTAGTCATTGCACCTGGTTTTGCATGATAGTAGTAGGACATACCTCTTATTGCCACGATGTTGATTTTCGGCCACATATCGCTCTCGCTCTTCACTGGTCATGTTGTCCCAGACGGCGGCATTTTTCCTGTCATTGTATTAGATAATATTCAAAACCGATTATTGAGTGAACATGACTTACTTGTTGCGCCACACGAAGTAGTAATTAGCGATGATGAACATCACCAAACTCCATGCCGCAAGACCAATCAGCACCGCATTTCCAGTACGGTACAGTGGTTTGTCATCTTCTCGGTAGATCTGTCAAAAATTGATTAGTTGGGCGTCGCTAAGATATCTGAGCTGTGTGTACTCACATTGTTTCCAATGATGTTGCTAACTTGCACCATCATATTGTAGAGTGCAGTTGCAACGGTCCGAGTGCGAACAGTACCCGCATTACGTGATGTGATTGCAACGATGATGGCATGAACGTAAGGCATTCCGATAAGCAAAGTCAAAAGTGCCCAGCGAGCCCAGGGACTGGCACCAGTAGGAAGCACCTCGAGTGCAATGAGCAAGATGATAGCCCAGAGCTCGGCACCGACACCCAGAAGCAGACGAATATTGAATCTCTCAGAAATCCATGTCCAGACCAGCAAGTTGATAATAAAAATCACGGACGCCGGAATGGCGAGCAAGTTGGTATGGAAAGTGCTGAAGCCCAACGACTTCAGTTGCAGACTGATATAAGATGTCGCGGGCGTATTGGCAATCATCCAGGTCAATCCGAGCAGGTAAATGACCCACATGTCGTAATCCTTCAGAGCGTGCCACAACATGCGAGGAGTAACAGCTTGACGGTTATGCATGCCACCCTTACTCGGGTCATCGCGGAGAATACGGTTGACCATGATCTTTTCCTCCTTCTCATTGAACCAACCGTTCTTGCCACGGAATCTACCGGCAGTTTGAGTGGGCGAAGGAGGCATCCAGAAGGCGGCAACAATACCGATCAAACCGGTGATCAAACCCTCGAATGCGAAAAGGTATCGCCAGCCTCCTGTACCATCTGAACCGCGAATATGCAGGAATCCAAAGGCAAGGAATGCGCTCACAATTGAAGTGCCCTGGTAAGCGACCCAGAAGTAACTCAGGCGAATGGGCAACTCCTTGGACTTATACCAGAACGATAGGAATAGAATAGTATCAGGGATGCTTGTGAAGTGTTAGTAAATAGAAAAGTGTATATCAAAGTCCGATAGAACTTACAAACCACCCTCGAGAAGGCCCAGCAGAGCTCTGGTCACAAAATAGGTGCTTCTGTTCTTAACAAAAGCTTGGCAGGCAGCGACCAAACTCCAAGAGACCATTTGAACAGGAATCCAGCGATCGGGTCCGAACCACTTCGAAAGTAATTGGGATGGAAGTTCCGCGAATAAGAAGGTCAAAAGGAAGATTGTCTGTCCGGTGTTGTAGTCATTTGTGTTCATGCCCAAGTCACCCAGCATGTTGTCAGATGTAGCTTGGACGACATTTCCTCGATCGAGCTGCAATGCAAAAAATGTGACACAGGCAAATGTACAGACGCGCCAGTCAATCTGCGGGTTTTTGTCAGTATATTGAGTTCATAGAAACCAAAGCAGCCTGCCTTGATAAGCTATTGTAAACATACCTTTTTCACAACGGCCTTTTCCTCCTCTTCAGTCCACTCGAATTCCGGGTCCCATCGATGATAACCCTCATACTCCGGGATAGGCTTGTAGTAGCGGGGGTCCTCGGTGGTATCAAAGGCACAGTCGATTGTCTTAACGGTGCCTCGCTGGCCAGTCAAAGTAGACTCAGAGTCACTTGCAGATTCAACTCGCGGCACGACCTTGGTATCATAGTTGTCCGTATCGGAGCCGGTAGTCTTCGCCTCCTCTATCGTCATGTTTGCGACTATGGATCGGTAAATTCGATCTGGTGCAGCAAAGCAAGAACGGTTGAGACTAATCTAGAAAGTAACGGGCATTACCAGCTATAAGAAGGGCCCGAGCAAGCACGAGAAAAAAAAAGTTGGTCCATGTACCGACTATCAGCCATCTTGGCCATCTATCACGCCATAATCTGTGGCAGACGCCGACAATCAGATCTCAGCCTTGAAGTCGCTACAGATAAGCCACGAGGTGGATCGGAAGTGCGTCTAGGTCCGATCTGCTGCACGTCGGCTGTCCTGGCCCTTTCTAACCAGGAAGGTGGTCAGGTAGTCCAATGAGTGACTGAACGTTTTTGACAGTATACGAGTACATAGATGTGCTCATGCTCGTGGCGAGGGCGGATTGCGTTACAAAGTAGACCCAAGCGGACAAATGCCGTGATCTAGAGTGAAACAAAGGGGAAGAAAAAAGGTAAAGCAGGACTGGGAGCTGCTTAATTCGTCCATAACTTCTGACCCAACTGGTAATGGGTACGTGGGAGTTTGCCAGTGAAGCGTCTGCTTGGCCGAAGCACGCAAGACGGTTTGAACTGACGTTAGGCTCAGCGAGTCAAATTCAGTGGAATACGCATGGATATCATTTTAGCTCGACCCCACTGGATGCTCCACTTGATGGAGTCTTGCGGTGTTGACCCGAATTCCTGCGTCATTGCTCTATTTTCTATAATTATGAATCAATCCCAGAGCAAGAATTTCGACCCTTCAAGAGTAAGACTTCAGGGGCGAGGAGGATATTATGATCTTCATGGTGTTAAGAGTTGAGAGATTCTATCTCCATCTATTGCACAATCGTCCACCGGGGCCAAGTAAGCTTTACTCCGTGCTCAATCTAGTCAATCGGCTACAAAACCATAAGCCGAATGATTGAATCCCTGTGCCAATCAGTATTATGCAGCGCCTCTAGATCTTTTATGTTTTGACAGAACTACTCGTAATTCCCTAAAACCTCCGAGTGGTAAAAGCCGAGGGCTCAAGTTTGCCGTATTGCTCGCCTTGCGTGAGGCCGGTTGAGGAGCACGCCATCGCGAGGGGAACAAGCAGAACAGAACAACAAAAAGAAAAAGATCACAGGCAATTCGGACTATTCTATTGAATTGGGAACTTCAGGTCTATTTGGGGGATTCTGTACTCCGTACCCAGTCGCACGCCATCAAAATCCCCCCCAAATGGTCCGGTTGGTCGCTACAATCTTGTCATCACGCCATTTGTGACATGCATAACGCAGCCCAGGACCAACAGAAATGAAGGCATTCCGACCGCCCGATCACCCCGCAATCGACCTGCCAGAGTAGGCACTGATCGCAGATTGCAAGGTTCAAGTTTACAAAGCATGTTCGGATTATATTTCGGGCGAGAGACTCACTCCGCGGTCATTGCGCAATCATGAGCCGGATAATCATTTGCCTGTTATATAATTAAAACGTATCTGCTCCTTCAATAGACCGAAATTGTTCCTGTGAAGTGCTACACTTGAGAATAGCAAGGATTTCCAGATATTCTATCAAACTTTGAAAGCAACTACAGGAGCTTTTCCGATACCCCTCCTTTCAATCAAACATCATGGCCCCTGCTCTTACTGAGACCGTAGGTCTCCGCGATGCCACATTTAAGATGGCTCACAAGACCGATGCCGGTCATAACAAGGAGAACTTGATTGGATATAAATATGAAAAGGACCCGGAGTTGAAGGGCACCGACAAGATTGCTCCAGCTGCTTATCCCAACTATCTGCCTGTCTGGGACAACGAAACCGCCAGGTAAACAATATCAATAGCCGGACGATTCAACTCGTTGGAAGATATCGCAAGAAAATTTCACTAACATTGGCATAGGTACCCTCCTCTGACACTCTTCGAGCACTACGACCACGGCAAAGATGCAGACCCTACATTTCCTGATCTCTTCCCTAAGGACGGTCCCGCTCAAGTAGATCAAATCACCCCTTTTATCGGCTCCGAAATCCACAATGTACAATTGAGCAAGCTCTCACAGGCTGGCAAGGATCAGTTGGCACTATACGTCGCTCAGCGTCGAGTAGTTGGTATGTTCAAGCTCCACTTCGCCGCAAGATCAATTTTCATTCAAACCGAGACTCTAACGCTCCATACATAGCCTTCCGCGACCAGGACTTCGCATCCCTCCCCATCCAAGAAGCCGTCGACTGGGCCGGCTACTTCGGTCGTCACCACATTCACCAAACATCCGGTGCCCCCAAGGGATTCCCAGAAGTCCACCTGGTCTTCCGAGGCGCGGACGATCGTACTGGCGCCAATTTCCTGGCACAGCGCACCAACACAATTACCTGGCACTCGGATGTCACGTTTGAGAAACAGCCACCCGGCACAACATTCCTCTATGTTCTCGACGGCCCCACTACCGGTGGCGACACCCTCTTCGCCGATATGGCGCAGGCCTATAAGCGGCTATCTCCAGAGTTCCAGAAGCGACTGCACGGACTGAAGGCCATTCACTCAGGTGTTGAACAGGTAAATGCTAGTTTGAATGGCGGCGGTATTGCGCGCCGTGACCCCGTCGTTTCAGAGCACCCCATTGTTCGTACTCACCCAGTAACGGGCGAGAAGGCCCTATACGTCAACCCGCAATGTGAGTACCATCACCACACTTCCTTTTAATATGCCTGAAAACGACCCAAGACCTTGCCTGACAACTGTTGAAGTCACCCGTTCCATCGTCGGATACAAGAAGGAAGAGTCGGACTACCTGCTCAAGTTCCTTTACGACCACATCGCGCTGTCGCAAGACTTGCAGGCCCGCGTCCGATGGAAGTCCGGTACGGTCGTCGTCTGGGATAACCGTGTTGCGTGCCACTCTGCCGTATTTGATTGGGAGGATGGTCAGCGTCGACACATTGCCCGTTTGACTCCACAAGCTGAGCAGCCGTATGAGACCCCCTATGAGGGATAGAGGCGAAAAACTTGATTGTAATGAATGACTGTGATTAATGATAAACCAAATCGATGAAATGTGCCGATTATATGTGCTTCTTGAACTGTAGTTTGGAGATAGATGATGCATGCGTGGGATGGTGAAAGGCGGCATAGACACGTGTGTATTTTCATACTGAGGCAGAGGCAGCCGTTTGCTCACGACTGAATCGGCTCAACAAGCCGACGTGCCATTCGTTAAACCTTCTCGCTGAAAGAGGAAGCATGTTGTTGCTTTTTTCAAGGGAGAAGGATAAGGATTGTAGTATCGAAGAGGGCAATTCGAGCTCTTCCACCGATAATGGGCTGACTTTTCCAAGTTCTGGGCTGAGGAGTTTGTCCACGTCATCAACGTTCTGGTAGAACACTTTCATGGCTTGTTGGGCGTTAACACTGTATCCGGAAGAGGAATTCGAATAGCGTAGGTCGGGATTGAAGACCCAGAGCTGAAAATTATGTGAGTATTTGGAATCAATTGTTAGGGTGTCAAGGGGGAGAGTATACCAATAGTCCACTTTTTTGGCCGCAATGAACGACGAATCTTCGAGCACTTTCACGTTCAATCAGCTCTAGCAATTGTGCCGCGACAATCATCTCTTCGGGGTGGCTTTGCCATTCTTCGTCTGTAACAGGCACGGAATTGGTGTTCAAGGATACATTTGCTTTGAGTAGCCGCCATCCATTGGCCGACGAATCTTCCATGCCAATAATAGTGCTGCAGTTCATGCACTCTAATGTTCGTCGTTCTGAAGCCTCTGTACTAGATTGGGCTTCCTCTTGATCGCTCTAGAAGAATGGCGAGTTAGCACAGCTGGTTCTAGAAAATACAAGAAAATCAAGGCTTAGGCAATTGAAAGTATTCGATTTGTGATTGGATATAAGCCCAGAAAATGCTCAAGGGCAAGATGTATAGACATATTGTTTTATGTGCCTCCTCAAAAGCGATGGCGGCCCCACTGTTCTGGGAAGGTTCCAAAGAATCCAGACCGCCGTCAACAACGAAGAGTGTGCTTAGAAAACGAACAGAGACAGCAGCCAAAACTACTATCAAGCCTGTCAGCAAAGGTTGGAGAAATCCATCTAACGAGAGAGGATATCTGCCTTCCAGAGCCGCAGACTCGAATGCTGAAATGGCTGCCATCTGACTGAACGCGATATGCACAGACATCTGTCTAGGGCAATAGTATCGGAGGCCATCCCATGGGCATGAAATGGTCTCCTTCTGGTTGCCCGGATCAAAGGAAAATGCGGTTTCAAGGTATGGAAGCGAGTTCGATTTATGAAAAGAATAACATGATATCTGGGGTAATCTCACCTTTTTCAAGCCTACACAGTCGGACTCCGCCAGTAGGAAAGTAGCCACATCGATCAAGACAGTAGCAGGGATCGCTTCAACACGGCTGGATGCCCCGTATCCCTTAATCTGGGCACTTTGCTCCTCAATCTTGAGAGCGACTGTGGCTTCGGACTTTGGGTCGTCCTCGTGGGGGTCAGGCTTGTGGCAGTGCCAGAAGTCCATCATCTCCGCCCAATTCCCACTTGGTAAATCTTTCCAAGTCCATTTAGCCGGAACCTCAGTCCCTTCTTCTTCCGGTATATTTGCGGACATTGCTGGATCGAGGAAGGTCGCGCCACACTTTCGGCAACGAATACGGGTCGAGGAAGACATATCCGCAGCTGTCCAGGGTACGTAATCATCCATAATTTCGTCGCGAGGTGCGAGAGCCGGCTCCTTGGCATCGATCTGCATCCTAAAAGAGTAGTCATGGCTGGTACCCTTTGATTGGGACGGATTGTGCATGATTGTTGGGCTGGCGCTCGTGTTCAATGCTCGGCGAGACGCGTCGTTGACGCGCGCCGGAAGCTTGATTGTCTCTGACACATCTTGGAAAGGCTTCGAGAGCGAGACTGTGACTGCCTTGCAGGATTCTGATAACTGTATGGTCGGTCGGACGTTATTTAGTGCACTGATTTGGGGAAGGGAAACGTAGAGGGTGATTTGGCGGATATTAGGGAGGAGCTCGGCGTGTAGATAGAGGAAACTATCTGTACCTGAGCGGGACATTGCCAGTCCTTTTCCGCCCTGGAATGATTGGGGTTCATTCCTTGTGTAGATCAAGACAACAGAGGAACCTTAGGAAGCTTCCGCGGCTCGGCGGTCGAAGCTGGCGCGTGGAATATCACGTGACAGTCGTCCCTCACGTGCAGATTGACATCACAATTTCGCCTGTGAACTTCAACGTTGACCCTCCAGTCAAGTTTGGAACCAGCACCAGCGACCAGGTTTGTTTTCATTAATATCTAGAAGTATGTGACGTCTACAGTACCGTGATTGTTTCTGGTAATGAAATGCTTGCTTTTCGGTCAGATGTATCCAGAAATCGAAGTACATACATGAGAATCAACAAAAATATAAAAAAAACAAGATGATCAACAAACGTCGCTCACAGGACCATCTCCAGCCATTATTAATAATATACTCGATATCACCAAACCGAAAGAAAAAAAGAAAGAAGAAGAAACAGCAAATCTTCTAGACACAGCCAGTCAGGAGTGTGCCAACAGCAGGCTTATCGTCATATGCAAATATTCGTGACAAAGAAAAAAGAAAAGAAAATATTCAAGACAAAGTTCGATCGCATCAAGAAGATTGTTGCGGGGTCAGGCCGCTCACATGCAAGAAGTTGCAAATATCTTCACAAGCATTTTTCAAAGACTTCTCCGTTTGCCATTTGAGCTCTTCCCGGGATCGGTCTGCGACTGCGACACAGTACCCAACGTCACCTGGGCGACGATCGGCTTCCTTTCGAGCGATGGGCTTAGAGGAAACAGCCTCCATGGTAGTGACCACATCCAAAACGGAATTTCCACATCCTGTGCCGAGGTTGAATGTGCGGAAGTTCTCAATCAATCTCCCTTCATTCGCAGTGCTGAGAGCTGCAATGTGACCACGAGCCAGGTCAGTGACATGGATGAAGTCTCGGACCGCAGTGCCATCCACAGTATCCCAGTCGCTTCCGAACATCTGCAGCTGAGTATACTCACCAGTCATCACCTTGGTGACAACAGGGAGAAGATTGGTGGGAGCCTGTCTCGGGTCCTCGCCCAGAACACCAGAAGAATCACACCCGACTGGGTTGAAGTATCGAAGCGCGACGATGGTCCATTCGGAATCGGACTCCGCAAGATCGGCAAGAATACTTTCACAGATCCATTTTGTGCGTCCATAGGGATTCGTGATACCCGTGGATCCGGGCTGAGCTGTTTGCACAACACCTGCGTCGTCGGTGTACTCTTCTGTCTTGTGTACGCAAAGCTCCTCCTTTAACGGCAGACCCGAAGTCGCAAGAGTGCCATACACGGTTGCTGAAGAAGAGAAGATGAAAGTCTTGATGCCAAAATCACCAAGAGTCGTCGCGAAGTCGATCAGACCGCCGACATTATTGGCATAATACTTCAACGGGTGTCGAATGCTTTCTTCGACGGCCTTATAAGCCGCAAAGTGGATCACACCTGCGATCTTGGATTTTGGGGATCCCCATCGTGACGGGAGCTGGTATTCCTCCAGCAGAGGTCGAAGAGATCCAGTATCTCTATAATCATGTTGGTGTAGCCTCAAAGATGGCATTTTTGTTCCATTTTCGTTGTGGAACTTTTGGGCAAGGTCACTGATACGGTCGAAGACTACCTTGAACGCATTGCTGAGGTTGTCAATGACAATGACATTATAGTTGGCCTTGAGCAACTCCAGGGTTGTATGGCTTCCAATAAAACCCAAGCCACCGGTGACGAGGATATGCTGATTTTCCGATGGCAATCTTTGCAGAAGCTCATCGAGATTGTCGAATAGCACGGACGACTCTGTGGCCGGTGTGTCCACTGAGCCAGGCGAGTCAGTCTCCACAGGAGTGCTCGCATCTGATCTCCGACGACTGTCCATGGTGGGCAGTTGATTGAATATGAAGAAGAAATGGGGAGTGTGTTGATATGGAGTTGTGTTGATAAACAACTGATGCCGACGCCTTTGTGACAGATTCTCTACCACACTGAGAAAGAAAGAGGACTTTATACGCTTTTTGAGACAGTGAATGAGATCCGCCGGAACCCACAGGCCGCTACGCTTGATTTATACGCTTCACGGAGACCCCGTGCGGCGTTTCTGCCTCGAATCCTCGTTTAGCTTCGATAATGCCAATTGTGGCATGTCATGACAACCGAATGAACAAGGAATCAGCAACGTCCTCTCACCGGCAAAAATGGACTGTGACAATACAAGATCAATGACGCATAAGCCGACATGAAAAACGAACAGAAGGGGCAAAAGTGAGTGAAACCAAAGAAGAGTCGGGCAGGATGCCCGTGGTGGGCCGGTTATGCGGCTGGACCTTGTGTCTTCGTCCCTTTTTTTTATTTTCTCCAGGCCCTAAGCGCCTCCAGTGGATGGCGCAGACCCTAAACTTGCATGGCTCTGATCTAAGATCCTGCATCTCATGGCTGAGACCCGCTCCGGTCGATTTGGGGCGACGCAGCTAACGGGGCAGGGCTGGGCCTGGTCGACTTTCGATTTTTCCGAACTGCCAATACCTATGTTTCACTTCGTGGTTTTTTATATGGAACAATAGCAATTATGATCCCCTTCGAATCCACTTAGATTTCCTTTTCATCTTGGTTCCCTCCCTTCTTTTAGTTCCACCTCATTCTACCCATGTCTACCAACATGTCCACCACAGACCCTGAAAAGCACGTGAGTTCGCGCGGCTGTCTTAAATCGAGACGCTCTCGAATTATCGCGGGCCTTGTTGTCCTCATTGTGATTCTTGCCGCCGTCATCCCACCTGTCGTCGTCACCACTCTTCGCAAGAAACACAACAACAGCATGGGTCCTAAGTCCAAAGTTTTCGTACCACTTTATGTGTACCCTGCCCCCGGGGCATGGTCTCCGCTTGAAGATGTGTATGTTTCACTCTTTCAATTCAGCCCAATACAGACCCCTCCCCGATCCCTTCCCTGGTCCCCAAGCCCAATCCAATCCCAAGCCACAGATATAGCCCGCCACATACAAGTTGCGGCATAATATCCTGCCGTCTGGTCTGGGCGACCACATCAGAGAGAATCCCCACCGTGGCATATTCTCTATCCCAAGAAGGCATTTGAAAAAAAAACCAGTAAACTACAAAAAAGCCCCCAAAGATGCTGATTGGAAAATCCACACTAGGATCTCTACCCACCCAGACGTCAATTTTACTGTCGTAATCAACCCAGGAAACGGACCAGGGCCTAACTCGTTGCCGGATGCGAATTACACTCGTGAAATTCCAAAGCTCGCTTCCCACGCGAATGTTCGCCTTCTGGGGTACGTCCACACTACCTATGCCCAGCGTAACATTTCTCTAGTTCGAAAGGACATTGAAACTTACGCGGCATGGCCGACGAATTCCTCAAACCCGGACTTAGCTGTTCGGGGTATATTCTTCGATGAGACTCCCCAGGCATACAGTGCGCCTTCCTTGGCTTACCTGCAAAATATGACGGACCTTGTCAGGGGTCTGAAAGGGCTTGGTTCCGATCCATTTGTGAGTTTCTTTTTTTTCACTTTTCCTATCCCCATTCAAGTTGTTCTGCTCGAACAAATTTGTGGCTCTACTTGCGCCTCATTCCCCTTGCATGACATCTTCATTCACAACCCCTCATCCTGCCCCCACTACCATACCCTGGTTCACGCGTGGTTCTATTCCTGTAGCCACACATTTCAACCATTGATGCATGTTTTTGGACCGGAGATTTTAAAAAAAAAGTGAAAAATAAAATCTCCCGAAAGACATGCATTCCTACTATTGAGCGCCCTTTATTTCCCTTTCTGGTCTTTCGAAGCGAATCCCTGAAACTAACCATGTCGGCAGGTCGTCCACAACCCTGGCGCCATCCCAGATTCTCGGTACCTACCTTCGGCCGACTCAACGGTCGTATTCGAAGAAACTTACAACACCTTTGAGACGCGGAATGGAGCTAACCTGTTCACGGCGATCCCGGACAGCAATCGCTTGCAGCTCTGTGCCGTGATCCACTCAGTACCCGATACCGTGGAGGGATCGAAGCTGCGCGAACTAGTGAAGGAGGCCCGCAAAGTGGCAGATGAGCTTTTCATCACTCACCTTAGTACCAACTACTATGCTAGCTTTGGGAACCAGTGGAGCGAGTTTGTTGATTTGATGGCAGCATGAGCATGAGGAGCCTGATGGCGTTGTTGGGAAAGGATATTCCGCTATGGTCTGTTCTAATGAAGTCATGATGTGTTGAATGATGCGTTTTTTTTCTTAGTTAATACTAGTTGGGAATAGTAAATGATGGTTAATTTATTTTTTATTGACCACTCGTCCACGTTGACGTTGACGTTCTCTCGTCTCTCCAATCATCTGATAGATAGATGATCGGCTGCCTGGACGTGATGTAGAAATTCCACCACTGCCTGTTTTTGATTTTTTTCCCTTGCTTTCAACGTATGACCCAAGAAACTAGTTGCAGGTTTTGGGAGGCCGAGAGAGATGCCAAGACTTGATAAATTGAAGAAATAAAATCGTCGTGAAAGAAAACAGAGGACGTGTAGGTGGAACCGGTGTAGACACCTCCTTCGGGAAAAGTGGAGTCGTGGAGTCGGGCCGCCCATCGTTGTACTGTAATTTTCAAACTAGAGCTCGTATTCATACATCGTATGCCCACCCAGTTAGGTTAGCCAAACTGTTCCCAATAGCACGGCATTTTCTCGTGGCGTTTCAAAATCCATAGTTCTGGCTGGGCATCATGGTTTTCGAGCGCCAGTTTGGCCTGCTCGAAGCGAATTGCTGCTACGACGTACAATCTCACCACTTCCATGGTTAAAAAAGCCAATGACTTGTACAAATGGTTGGTCGGGCAGGAAAATTGGTAATGATGCATAGAGCAGAGGTTTCTCCAAACGCCGAAAGAAAGGAAAAAGCAAAATCGAAGAAAGTGACAAGTCACCTTCCCTACTGGGAGGACAGATGAAGCCATACGTACTGTTTTTCCAAGTTGCCGCTGACCTGACCAGTCGGAGAGGCAGTACACCGCACCATGAGACATTACTTGGCAAGATTGACCAATAAAATACTTCTATTCCGTCACAGCTCCTAACGACAAAAGGTCCAGCGCATCTACTCGTACTCTAGAGTAAACCAGCCAGAGGCATTCTCCCTGCGTGTCTCAAGAACAGATGCAGGCAAATTGACGTTGCTACCACCGTAGTAGAGACGTCCAAAAATAGTCAGACATAGATGAAAGTATTCCAGGGCCCTGCAATTTGACTTAGTGTTACTGATCAATCAAAGTTAGGAAGAGCGGTGGGGAGACCTGAGAACCTGAGACAACAACGTGATACCTGACAAAGATCTCGGCAGCAGATGCATACGGGTACTCTAGATGAGGCTACTAGGGGTATTACGACACAACGCTGCGATGACACAGAAACACCGAATATGGACCCTAGATGTATTTTGAACTATGTGATATTATTCTTCTCCAAAGGGACATGGAAAAGTCGTAGGTTTGAAATGAAATTTTTTGACTCGAGCTTACTGTGCCAGGAACCGGTTACACACGGTGCTCCCCGAGCTTGACAGCAAAATGCATGGAAAATTGATCATGCATTAAATCTTGGAGCACAGTAGATAATTCAGCAATTCTCCGTACACCGGTTACACACAACATTACCTCCAGGGCTCTCTGTTCGGGTTGCCTCTCCACATTCCGTGGCCCGTGAGAGTTTCGATCCGTCTCCTGGTAAACTAGTACGGCAGTGCATCTACCGAAGAGACTAACGACAAAACCAGTATGAGGAAGGACAATCCCTCCGATTAGCGTAGTCTGATCTAGCTTATTTGAGCCCTCGGGGGGTTAATCTGCTACTACATATAGGATTACGAATGCACTAACTATTCAGAGATATAAATCGACATAGTCGGATTGAGGCTAATGAAAAGACCGGAGAAAAGTGCATGGGGCCGCGTACTATTCGCAAACTTGAACTGTTTCACCATGCATAGGGGGTGGGGAATTCTAGGGGCTAGCAGGCTGGCTAGAGTAAGTACAGTGCGTGAAGTCAAACATCGGGAACCGTTTGTTAATTACCCGGGCTACACCTTCATGTCCACATACCCAGCCACCGGGGTTGGGGGCTGATGATTGACAGAACTTGAACCGAGCAACCGTTCCACTCAAGACGCACGCAGGACGAGAACGAACTCCTGTTCAGCCTCGGGGGCAAATGATAATCCTTCAAATGGTCAACATGCGACCGCCGCATCACCCGAAAGGATCGGATCCCGACCGCAAGAAGTTCTGGAATGGCTTGGCAGTGCGAGAAAAAGTTAGGTCCAATCCTGCAGCTCGCTTAGGACAACAGGAGAGACCGTCGTTGCACGATCTTGAAATGTTACTCCTCGCCCACACCTGTTCAGGCAATGATCCGGCCCTCGCACGGCTCAAGTGGAGTCCGGGAGTAAGTGGATTCGAGTTCTCCCATGTGGTGTGAACCAGTCATCTCGGTTTGATGGGGGTTCGCGGTCAGGACCTCGGGCAGATCCGCACCGGGAGCCACTCGGGCTGCCGATCTTAGCGCTTTGGTTCGATCTTTTTGCATGCACATCGCCATTGCTTTTTTTTCCTTTCCTTTTGCTTTCGCTTCAGGATGTCAAAAGAAGAAGTTGGGTCGTAGATCCTTTGATAAATCACATCATCAGCTGTTGGAATAGGCGCTAAGAATGAGCTTGCGGTAGTCATTGATGATGGTTTTCACCGGTTGTCCCTTTGTGCCGATAGCTCGATATCTCGGCAAAGCGCGGAAAATTAGCACAAGGCTGGGCAAAACATTACCACTGTGAGTACGAGGATTCGCCAGAGCGGAGAGGGGCCTGTAAGAGATTTATCACCAAGTTAGCTTTGCTGTGGCTTTATCGTGGGGCCTACCGACGCGGGAGGAGGCGATTCGGGAGAAAAATCAATCTCGTTCTCAAACGCATTTCTGCAAGGGCGAGAGATTCAAAGTTTATGTTCCGAAGCCAAAATAAAATTTCTGACATGTCCAACACCATTGGTCGGTGAAGGCTCGTGTTGATCTGTTGCGGACCATGGGAAGAAGGAAAGCCAGCGCGGGGAAATGGGGGGGGGGATTGCAGTAAATCGAATCTTACCGTCCCGTAATCGACGAGTACTGTCCACAAACTGAAAATTACCAGGAATTACCAGAGCCGGAACCTCAGGCCCGTACTTACGAATAATACCACCATCGCCCGCCCTAATGCACCACAATTACATTTGTCGACAGCCCCTAGTCAATTCCAATACAGACAACTTCCTCCGCAAAACATAACCAATACACTTGTTCGTTCCAGACAGGGATCAAGTAGCGCCAAGAAATGCCAAGCAAAAAGCAAAAGTTCGGTGGATCAATCGCCTTCTGTGAATCACCCTGGGAGGTGAGCTTGGGCAGTCTGGGCAGCCTCAGCCACGGATGAGTGCCGAGACAGAAACAGCTCAAAGCACGCAATGGCCTGTCTGCACCTGCGCCTCATGCAATGGAACATCAGAAATAAAATCCGGACAGAATCAAAGAGCCCTTTGTCTTTTCAGGGTCTTCGGATCTTCGGCAGAACATCACTCCTACATATGTGCGCACAATGCATCAATCTATCTTTGGAGGACCACCGCCCCCAACTATACTCCGTACCAAGACGATAGATAGGGCTGGGCATGGGATCGCGAAATCCGAAGTCCAATTTTCCCACGCTATTGACTCGCGCCCAAATCCGTGGCGCGAACGATCTGGGCATTTACAGATCCCGCGCTAGCGAATACTAACAAACTGTGGACCGGATGTGTCCGGTTCGATGGGTTCGCTGGCGCCGCAAGTTGGCGAGGGCGTCAAAGTAAGGTGTCTTGAGGCGAGCACCGAATCGTCTCAGTTTGATTTCCGTCTTTATGTACCAGGTTCTTGGGATATGGCATTAGTGAAGGGAGGCTATGTATGCATATACGGGGTCGGGGTCCGTTGGGCATTTTAGTGCTTAGTGAATAGCTGCATATCGTATGTAGATGTTGTGGAGAATTTTGGAGCTGAATACATGGAAAGAAAAGGCGAGCATGGACTTTCTAAGCTAAGCTTCGGCGAGTCTTCGGGCTGGAGACAATTTACGGCCGTAGAGCTTGACTTTGACGCCTTGGATTGGCATGATGGTTTTGCGAAGCGAGGATGTGAAGTTTGATCAGTGTTTTTGATTATTATTGATGGGATTACTTTACGCCAAGACGGTGGCAGAATCACTGCCATGGATTCAAGCTTGTAAACGAGCACAATAGATTGGTACTGTACGTAAAGAGTATTGAAAACATAGGAGGCATTGATGATAATGAGAAATACAAAGATGAGTAAGCCATAAGGTTGCTAATGAGTACATAGTATAAGTGCAGGCTGAAAGAAAGAAAGAAAGAAAGAAATATCTAAAGTCTCATGGCGATTCTTTCAGGAGCAGTATTCCACCCAGTTGTCCAGGTCCATGTTCTTAATGACAGTGGAGAAGTCGGAGGCGCTGTCAGCATCGCAAGAAGATGACTTCTGCTTAGTCGTGACTTCATCATCATTATTAGTGTCATCTCCCTTAGGGTATTCAATGTGGAAAACAGGCTTTTTCGCATCCGTGAAAGCGGCATATGTATCACATTCCGTATACTGAGCACACTGCTCATTGACAGACCATTGCATATTCTTGATGACGGAACCAATGATTGCACCACCGTTCTTGAGTCCAACAGACAATCCTCGGCTGTGAGCCTGCCCTGCGAGCCAGTTGACAAAGTCGATAGCATCATCCTGTGTCAGCTTCAGGCCGTTTGAGTTGTCATAAGCGTCGATGTTATCGGGGTCGACTCCGTCACATCCCTTGTCTTTGGCCAGATCCAGGCGCGTCTGCATGATTTTGCGCACATTTTTGGAATTGGTGTCGAGCCAGCGCTCACCGGGCCAGTCGTCAAGGTTAGATCCCTTATCCGAGCTGGTGAAGTCGTCGGCATCACTGCGCCAATTTTCGTAGGTACCGGCGGAAAAGTAGCAGATCACCTTGCGGTTCATAGCTTGCAGGCTGGAGATGGTGGATTTGGGATTGTCAAAGAGGTCAATGTCATAGACGTCCGCGTCGATCTTGGTGTTGTTCAGCGGGTAAAGGAGCTCGATCTGCCACTTGACGCCAACTGCCGGTTGCCATTTCACAGTGGTGTTGCCCGAGCTTGTATCATTTCCCCCGCTACCACTTCCACTTCCGCTGCCGCTGCCTTCATCGTTGCCGTCGTCGCTGCCATGATTCAGGCCGATTCCCAGGCCAACACCGAGACCAACGCCAATCGCGACAATTATCAAGCCAAGAGCAGAGAAGAGTAGGACCTTCTTCTTCGTGGACCAGGCCCACCAGCCACCTTTAGACATGTTTGAGTAATGAGAGTCAAGAATGGAACAGGATTCTGAATGAGATTCTTGTTATGATGATCAAGGCAGAACGAGGTGTATTTCAATGATCAAAGGAGCTTGGGGTTAAGATCACCGTGGTCCACCTGGCATAGTCAAGCGGTGGGGGATCGGCGTCGTGTGGTGAGATTGTGATTGATAAAGAAAAATTAATATGGACAAGATAACAAATCAAGAGTGGCTATGGGGAATAGAGAAATTTAAGCTCAAAGAAAATCAAGGTCCAGGGTCACCAGGACTGGGGGCTGAGCTTTTTCGGTGGTGATTTGTGGCGATCCTTCTTAGGCAGCCGCATAAGGCGTTGGATGGGATGATAGGATGTCACCCTACGAGCTCAACTTTAGGATTTGGGGGGGGTGAATGATAATTAGGAAAATAGATCCTGTGGCTTTGAGTGCGTCAAATGATGCAGGGGGGATGGGCAAATTCGAAGGGTCTGCAGAGTTTGAAAGCAAAGAAAGAACAGGGGGGGCCAAGATGGGAGCCTGGACAAAGCGAGAAATCCCGCGCGAAAGCGAGGCAAGGCAAGGCGAAGGGGTGACCGCGCCACAGTTTGGGATTGGGGCTGCCAGAGCCAGTTCCAGTGTCAGAATGCCAACAGTGGAGCAGACCCAGGACCACATGGGTTCGAAATAAGGTGGTGGAACCAATGTTGATCTACCGCGATCATCGATCAGAATTGGGTCTGAGTTCAGGCGTGCCCTCGATGAAGTTAGTTTACCGTGGACCGTGAGCAGTGGGCAGTGGGCAGTGGGCAGTGGGCAGTGGGCAGTGGGCAGATTCAAAAATCCCAGGCCCAGCGACTTCTACGAATAGAGCGATAATTTCGCCATTCGCCATTCCGCCGTCTGCCGAGCTAATGCTGTTCGGATCCCCAAAATACAGAAACTAAAACTAGAACTAAAACTAAAATAGACAAAGCCCTCGCCAAGGAACTAGACAACGCTAGAGGTCAAGGGAAGATGCAGCGCCCCCCTTCTGTTTTCAGGCCGAGACCGGATCATGATTCATCAAGCTTTTGTTTTTCCTTACTCCGTCCGCCTCGTATGTACACAACAAACGAGGTTGAAATTAAAGCAATGACCTACCTACTCAGCCAGCCCATTCAGGAACACAACGGTACCTCCCGAGCGCCCCTTAGTTTGGGCGTATCGCCCTGTGACAGATCGGATGTGATGTGATGTGATGTGGTGATGAGAGGGGATGAAGAGGTCAGTCTTTAGTCTCCTTGGACCATCTAAGACACACCCAATCGTTGTTCCTGTCACCGATGCCTGCGCTGTCAAGCGCCTTGTGTCATCGGTGGATTCCCTTGATCGATGGAGCCATTTCGGATTTGGTTTCTTGGTTTCTTTAGCCCTTGCCAAGGATCAGCCGTGTAAAGTCCCGTGTTTGCAAATACAAAACTACAGTACCGCGCACTGACCCTGTAACAGTTTCCGAAAACGAAGGTGTAATTTAGCAGACCGTCTTGTATTAGCCGAGTACGTATGTATCAAATCCCAGCCCTAACCACGTACCCCGGCATGGTTCGATTACTGATCCAGCCATTTCCCATCGCCCGGGAATGATCGGCCTGAATCTAAGACTTGAGCAGAAATTGATCGTCCTGTTAGCCTTTGACTTGCTGGCTCTGAGCTCCGAACAAGGATCCCCCGGTCATCTGATACTAGCAGACATCCGCTAATGCATCAACACAAAGCATTCCCTGATTTCAAGGCAAACGGAAAATAGCCTAATTTGTAATTAGATACAGGTTCTTCCGCTCAGGGACCTCGCTTTTGCTTGAGAACACTCGATCGCTTGAATTTGCCTCGTACTTTTAACATACTCTCCACATACTCCCACATACTCCCACATACTCCATTTGTGGACCCCACGGTGGGGGAGGAAGGGGGGAGTCCCGGCCGGAATTGAAACATCATTATGGGAGATCGAATCAAAGCTAAACCCAGACAGCTTAGCTTCTAGCTTCATTAGGATCTGCCACATTGATAACCCAATCGCCTGATTCTCCCTTCCGTAATCCCGCGGACGCCACACCCGCAGGTGTAAGTCCATAACGTTCCGTCGACGTCCCGTCGCCTGTGTACTCGTACTAAGACCTCGGCCGCCCTCGGGAATTGAAAATACGCATGCCAAGACCCGCTAATTCTTCGTACATCTCAACTCGAAACTTCCCCGCGCACGCCATTTCTCCCTGTTGAGGGCTGAGGGCCAGCCGCGTGGACTAATATTTTCCCGTCCTTCACTTTACTCTCGACTCTGCAGGTTTTTGGGGCTCTTGGCTCTTCCCAAGGCTATTAGGGCTTACTAAAGCCCAGCCATCGCGAACACTAGTCTCGCATTCATATAGGTAGTGACTTTTCTGGCCACTAGTCGTTTGAGCCAATTATCTCGGCACGGGATGGAGCCGAGAACAGGCGGAGGGGGACAAAAAGAAACCTACTCCGTGCTCGTACGGAGTAGAAAATAGATTAATTCGTTCTATGCCGATTCTGTTGCTATTTCGCGACTGGTGGTCGTTCCTCGCACGGCTCGGGACAATGGAAATTTTCATCGCCGACATATTGTACTCCGTAGCGTGGTAACACACCCGCCCTCTTCCCTGTCAATGTACGTACCTGCCCCCAGATTCCGGTCCCTGCGTTGTACGGGAATGCAGTGCGATCGGGCTGGCGAGGGCCGCCCCAGGAACACAATCCGGAAACTTCTATGTTTGCCGAGTGGCCTGCTCGATTTGTTGGACCTGCGCATGACAGCGGCGCCCATAAGCCGGGGAGTAAAATGGAAATGTGCTTAAACTTGCTGTGTCTGACACTTTAAGTGTTTTTTTTTTCCTGTTCCCTTTTGGAACGGGGCTGACGCCTTTTGGAAAGCTTGCGTAGGCCGCCAGGTCAGATCTCTTGGAGGTCGTGAAAAGAGCGAAGGTCCACGTTGCTGCGCTTTGTATGTACCTCGTACAACCGAGTTCGGTTCGAACCCTGCAGGGTCAGCTTCGTCAAGCAGTTTGACCGCTCTTTGGAATTAGGGCCCAGCACTGTTGGTCTGCGGGAAATGTGACATATCTTATTGTACCTCGTATTCAGGAACAGGTTTATTCTAATTTCCTCTCGATTTTTAGTATTAGGCAAAGTATGTTGCCAAGAATGATGAAGGAAGAAATTTTACTATGTATCACATTATATCAAAAAGAAAAGCAGAATTCATTTCACGACATGCAGAATGATCATCTCATCCGCTCCAATTAGGATCCATTATCGATATTTTTTCTAAATCGGGCAACATAACCAATTAATGTCAGATAAAAGAAGCACTCATAAACAAGAACTAAAGAAAATATTCTGGTGTTTTTGACAAGCCAAGGCGTTGTCGGTGGCTATTTACAGAGAAATAGGGGAGCTGAGAGTGAACGAGACAGGGGAGCCGGAGAGCTGGACCCAGACAGTGGTAGGATCACTGCCGACCTGCTCAACGGTGAAGCCCTTGGCGTCGCTAGGAGCACTGGGGAAGGTCACTGGGATGGGGCTGCTGCAGCTGCTGTCGGTAGCAGAGACAGTGACACCAGTGATCTTCTTGTTGGCGATGGTGTAGCTCAGCGAGTAGCCACACTTATCACGGTTGAAACGAGCCAGGAACGAGGCGGACATATCGGCGTGCTTGAGTGTGATCAGGGGCCACTTGACCAGGCGAACGAACTCAGCAACCTGGGTCTCAACCCAAGCCTGGAAGATAGAGTACTGTCCAGACACGCCATTAACGGTAATAGGATCATTGCCGACGTTCTTGAGGTTGGCCTGGTGGAACATGTAACCGTCGTGATGAAGACCGAACAGATGGCGCATGGTATCGGCCTTCTCAGTGGCGAGCAGGTCTTCGAAGGTTCCACTACCGGCGGAGGTATCGATCCACTCCTGCAGGGTGCAGGCCGGGGTATCGCAGTTGTAATAGATGCGAGTGGCCCAGCGGGGGTTGACCTGCATGCCATTGAAACCATCGGTAGAAGTCACAGTGAAGTAAGGCCACATGGAGTTCTCGGTGTTGAGGAGGGCAGGGCGGGTGTTATCACCGACACAGTTCGTGATACCGTTGTCCCACCAAGCCTGAAGAGCATCTCCGTTGTGGAGACCGGTGATGGCGGGAGGAATGATACCGTTGGCAGTGTAGTGAGTGCTCTGGTCAATACCAACAGCCTTGAGCCAGGCCTGGTTGAAGCTGATCTCGTTGTTCACATCAAAGTAGGTGGCGTTGTTCTGCTCCTCGTGGGTGAAAGTGTGAGAGATGGAGCCAAAGCTGTTCAGGTTGGCAGTGGTGGTCCACCAGTTCAGAAGAGGGTCCAGCTTGTTGCAGGTAGTGGTCCAGTCATAAGCAGTCGGGGTAGCGGGCCACAAGTTGGTACCAGAGCCCAGAGGCTTCTGGAACTCAAGAGCAGTGTCCGGAGGGGAATCGTATTCAATAGCACCATTGTTGCATTTGCTGGCACCAGAGTCGGTGCTTGAGGAGTTCTCGATGTTACCATTTCCGTTGTGACCGACCTCGGGGAAATAGATACTACCAGCGTTCATCTTTGCGAGAATAGTAGGGATCCAGTCACGGACGCCATCCATGTCTGCGGTGGTGATACGGAAGGTGTTTCCACTGGGGTAGTAAATATCGGTCTCGAGGAACATGTCGTCAATCTGAGTGTTCAAGTTGACACGACGATATCCGGCGTACAGTCCACGGGTAATCCAGGTAATCCAGGCATGCTGCAGGTAGTTGGAAGTAGCACTCCAGGTGGTGTCAAACGAGATGAAGAAAGCCAGCTGCTGACGGCCATCAAAGTCGTTGATGACAGCAGCAACAGAGTCACTTGTGACAACAGAGTTGGCAGCGAAGCTAGCAATTTGCTTGGTGGAGGTGGTGTTGCTGATAGTAGCCGGGTAGTGCCAGAGACCAGAAGTGCTGACACCAGCTCCGGTGCGCAGTCCAGAGGTGGGGAAATCGCTGACGTCGGTGAAAGAGATGTCCTGCTCGACACCAGTGTCACAGCATCCACCGCCAATGGCAGAAGCACCGTAGTTGGGACCGGGATAAACATCATATTGGACCATACGAACACTGTATGCGAGCTGGTAGGCATACAGCTGGTTCCACTGGTCGGTGGTCAAGGCACTCTGGTAACCGGTAGCGCCGTAGTCATAGCTGACCTCAGAAGCAACAACGATACCGCCGAAGTTTCCACCGGAGCTGGAGTTCAGAGCAGGCAGAGCAACACCAGCCTGGGGAACAATAAGGGTGGTGAAAGGAATACCATAGGAGTTGAGGCCGGAAGAAGCAACATCAGCGGAAGCAGTGTCCTTGGCAATCACAAGAATGTTGGCAGCAACATTGGCGTTGGTGATTGCCGTGGCAGTGGCCGTAGCCGAGATAGAAATAGCAGTTGAAGACATGCTACTAGTCACAGAGGGACTGGAGATAATTGGCGACGATGAAGCAGTTGAGCTCGAAATAGGCTTGCTGGTAGCTGAGCTCGAGGATACCGTGCTAGAAGAAGCGGAAGATGACGCAGAAGATGAGACTGCGGATGAAGAGACTGTACTGGTAGGAGTTCCAGAAGGCGAGCTGGTAGCCGGGCTTGATAGCGGGGACGAGCTAGCGGTCGAAGAACTGATAGCAGAAGAGCTCAAAGGCGATGAAGTCACGCCAGAGGAAGCAGTTGTGCTACTAACAGGAGTCGAAGTTGGAGAAGCAGTCTGGGTGCTAGAGCCAACGTTCGATGATGAAACACTGGAGCTAACGAGACTTGACACAGGAGAGGAAGTGCCAGTAACAGGCGAGGAGGAAGAATGAGCAGCAGAGGAGCTTGGGGAAGAAAGAATTGCCGAAGACGAAGTCAACGACTGGGACGGGACTGAAACAGAGCAGTCGGGGCAACTGGATGAAGACGAAGAGGGAGCCGAGCTCGATGAACCTGGAACGTCCGAGGAAGAAGCCGAGGTCACAAAGGTCGATTGTGGGGCGGTACTAGGGGACGAAACAGTCTCAACAGAGGAAACAGTGTCACTTGAAGTAGTGGTGATAGAAACAGACAAAGTAGGAGACAGTGATGGGGTTAAAGACGAAGTCAACGATTGGATAGTGGTAGTAACCACGGGAAGGGTAGTGGTGGAGTCAACGACAGCAGTGGTGGTAGTAGTGTGATGACCTGGGGATTGGGATGGGTAGTATGAGTGGGATGAGGACGCTCCCAGGCAATAACGACAGGCTTGTGCTTTGGCCAAACACCAGGGCGAGTGTTGCAGGTTATAAGGCCGTAGAAACAGCCAACCTTCAGAGCCCAAGTCGGTACGTGGACCATCGTGATATCGACCAGGGGTAATAAATGCGAGGAGAATAGGAACTAACGCACCAGCACCATGCAATAACTAACGAGTGACGGGGTCGAGTGCAGAACGAATACACGAGGCTTGCATATCAACTCCTAGAAGGGCATGGTTCTTGACCTTTATGTAGTGGGTGTGGAGTACAATGAAGTCTCCGAGGCCTATCGCCTTTACTGACTATGAAGAAAACCTTTTACGAATGACAATTTCCACGACGCAGTCATCTTTCTCGGCTCCTCCATCGAGAGACATTGTGGCGTGTCTCCATGGAGTAAGATCGATAGGATTGATGAAAATATTTCCTGGGGACCGTGAGCCAAGTGATCGGTTGATTCGGAACAGATCGATTTCAGAGGGTCATGATGTATGCTAGCGGGGCTTTTCAAGGTCTTCATTGGCTTGTTTACAAAGGAGAAAATTCTGTTCAGTGGATATCTTCTGCAGGTCTGGGATACTTTCAGCCCGGGTGCATCTTGACCAGGACTGTAAAGGAATATCATAAGCGAGAAGAAGACGGAAATAAGAAAAGCGAAAAAAGAAAAAGGAAGGTCAATCGGGCTAGCAAACCGAGACAACGCAGACGCTATGGTTTATCGGGAAAAAATCACCGAAGAACCGACAACTGTTCGGTGTTTGGCGTGGCCAAATGCAAAGTACCGAGTCGATGCTCAAGTCTAGCGTCCAGATGGCTTTACCCACTTTTGGGGCTCATCGAAAGAGATAGGCCCAGGTGGCGCTGCGCGGGGGTTGCAGATACATCAACCAGGGGAAAGACACAGGTCCAGACCTTGGCGCCGAGAAGGGGGGGGGGAGGAGGGGACATGGAGGCGTCGAGCTGGCCCTGGTCCCTGGTAAAGTAAATATGCCAGTAAGATGTGACGGTTTTGAGTGGAGATGGTAATATTGATTTGCAAATCCTACGGGGGTCGTAATTTTAATACCCGCAATGAATTACAACTTTCAGTACCGCCCGGCTATTCCTAGTCGGGCTTAGGCCCCTCAACATCTCAACTGCGACTGTTTCCCACGACCCGTTAGTACGTTAACACCGGCGCTAATGTTACCGTGCTAGCTCGAAAGGAATTCCAAAAAAAATAGAAGAAAAAGAATAGAAATGATTCACAGAATGCAGTCACCGCGGGCGAGATGTTTTGCTCCATCAGCTGAGTGGATCGGCCTAGCCTAGCCAACACAGACTCAGTCGTGGAGGTGTGCTTGGCCCGTGTCTGGAACTCACGCCATGTATCAATTGGGGTTCCAAGGCGGAGAAGGACACGGAGTGTGGGATGATTCGAAGTATCACAATCAGATTGACCTGTTAGCCCCAGGTTGATAGTACAGATGTCCGCAGCTATACGGTATACCTCGAAATTGGATTGAGAACAATCGGGGTGGCTACGTCCAATTTTCATCTGCAGTTGAAGAAAAGCAGCCCCCGCCAAAATGATACCACAATGATGGATCGCATGGAGAGCGGGGCTTTGGCTCACACATGGCATCGGGTACATACTAGTTGCAGCACGGGTCAAGTCCATCGCGTGTCTCGCCCATCCCTGCTGCATATCCCGGTGGCTTTGCTGGGCAAAGAAAAAACTTTCGGTGCTATTTTTGTCCTTTGGGCTCAGAAGTCTCCTCGTCTTGCAATCGAAACAGGGTACACACGGACCGTCGTTCTCGACTGAGAGCCAAAAGAGTCAAGAAAAAGCGAGCGGCTTATACGAGCATTCTTGTTGTCCTTCGCGCTAAAGGAGGCAAGCTACAGTAGCTTTCAGTCGGACTTGTCCGTAACCGCAGCAAAGTTGCAACCTCGCTTCCTTCGTTTATTTTTTTGCCTTTTGCGCATCTTCTCTCGTTACTCATATTATCTGCTTGAACTTCCGGCTTGTCGCCCAAATCTTATTATCTTTGACACTCGTTTTCGACATTTGCTCTTCCCGAAAGCAAGCTTCAAAATGCTATAGCGCTTGTTTTCTGAAGTGGCAACTCATCTGACACAGAAAGGGTTTCACTCTATACCCTTTCAAATTCATTCATTTCTCCTTTGCACTTTAAGTGCTTGAGGAGCCCCAAAAATACACGAGGAGAATCACCGACTACTCGCTATGGCAAAGATTCTCTCAGTGCACCCGGTGGGTGGAGCCATATGAGGGACCACTGGTGGCAGTTTGTACGTTTATTTGGTTCACTTTACAATCGATCCTCGATCCCGGTGTATGATTATGGGCAAATGAAACGCTGACTTTTTAATAATAGTTGATGATCGGAGTTTTGTTGGCCTGCGTTGCTATCGGATCCGCGCATATTCTCTGGTCTTTGGTTTCAAAAGCAATTAAATCTTACAAGGTAAGCAGCTCACACATGGGCCAAGGTGCATTCTGCACACAATCACTCATATCAATCTATTTTCCTAGTCGAGATCAGTTCCAGACAAAATCCCTTCAAATGTTTCTCAGCGCCTCGAAAAGCTTGCCAACAGGAGCCTTCGTCTCACCGCGCTCCCAACCAAGCAAAAGCCGTCCTCCTTCGGGGTTTACCTCGGAGCCTTCGAAAAATCTCCGACAGAATCACAAAGTCGGTTGCTGAAACAATGGGACCTCCTGATCGTCGACCCATTCCAAAGTGGAACTACACAGGCCATCACTCAACATGGTCAAAGCCAGGTGTTGGGTCGAATTGATTTCTCGAAAGTCGTCTCGCCAACAGAATCAGCTCTTTTGGCAATTGACAGAATTGAAGAGATTCTGGCCAACAATTTCAACGACACGGCATATTCTGGAATCTTGTTCGCCAATTGGGAAGATCAATTTTCTCCGTCGATCCAGGGGAAATTGTTCGAGGTTATCAAGAGTCTCGGGTTGGAAGTATACCTGGAGACGCAATCACCCGATTTCTTGACGAGCCGAAAGTCTCTCCAGAACAGCGCTATTTCCGGCCTTGTCGTTCGAAATATTAGCATTTTGCCTTCTGGTGAAAAGCGTGACTACTTCCAGATGGCAAAGCTTCAATCCACAATCAAGGCATTTGTCTCCGAATCTTGCATGCGAGACTTCGTTGTTCTTGCATGGGAAACTCTCGATAATGATGCCACTCCCTCGAATGCCATCATTCGACGCTCGATTCAATGGTGTAGCTTCTACAGTGCTGTTTGCTGGATCGGCACCGAGGCTGCTCTACAGGATGCCGAATTGAATGTGCCTACAGTCGAGCCTCTTCCTGCGTTCGGATGGTTGAAAGATGCCGATATCATGAAAACCCATGATACATGGCGCTCGAATTCTCACATTTCTCCATTTGCTGACACTCAAACCGGGTGGGATACCATCCGTGAGCATTTCTCGGAAGTTGACGGACTTCTTGATTCTCAGGAGACGGAAGCTATCTCACCAGAGAGCCCAGGCGCCCGACTTCGTGATCCTCCAGAGTGGGTGGCTCAGGTGAAATCGCAGGGAAGCCCGCTTTCTATCTCCATGTCCGGTCAAGAATATACAGCGTTGGGCTGTTTCCCTCTTGGTTCGGAGTCAACGGCAATGGCCTTTGCTGAAATTCTCCAGTCGCAACAGCGTCTCAAGGGTCTTAGCCTTCTTCACCCGGTTCCAGCGTCAAAAGTCCAAAACATCGGTCTACTTCTTCGTAACTTTCAAGCATCACTTGAAGCTTTAAATGAGGATGAACACCTCATCGCAGCTATCAAGGAGCTGGCCGATAAGGCATCGAATGAGTCTCTCAATGTCTACCTTGCATTGGATTCTGGGTTGAGAAAATCATCCGACGTTCGTTTCTGGTCTGTTTATCAACTTGACGGTGACAACGATAAGACCGAAATATTTGTTTCGAAGAATGCACCTGGTTTAGCCGGAACTATCCTGCACACATTCCTCTCCGCGAAGGGATTTTCACGACATGTGTGCTTTGAAACCGAAGTCGCGATGGCGAGCTGGTCGCAGGATTTGGTGCCGAATACTGATCTCCCTCGACGCATGACTCAGGATATCGATGTCCTCAGTCCGGAAGAGCGACTGCTGCTTCTGCAACATTTGTCGCTGACAGATTCTCAAAGTAACCTCGCAGAAACTATTTGCTCTTATATTCGCAAGCAACTCCTCGATACCCCCTCATTCGCCCAGTTAAAAGAGCTCAACACTGTCGGTTACCTCGATGAATCTGTCTCTGCAGAGGAACTCATCCAGTCGCGCATTGATTGGTACAAGCAACAGGAGTGCCCACATCCATCAGTTACCAGTTCCCTTCGCCTTTTCAGCCAGGTTGACGAACTTTTCACCCAAATTCTGAAGTATCACCGAGAGGACGAGCTTGCAGCCATCACCAAGGGCCTCTGTCAGCTTACGCAGGATGGCAATATTGATGCTTATATCGACATGATGACTCTTTCTCTGTTCTGTGCGGCGCGAAAGGGGTCCTTTGATGAGATCTACACAGAGGTTACCGACCGTAACCCGCTCTTCAACCTTCACCCTGACCAATCGGCAGCTTTTGCGGAGTCGTTCGCGCTCGGATCTCGCTGTGAAGCATACTTTGATGTTGCTCCCAGTGTTTTCGGCAAACTTCTATCCGATCGGTTCAGAGAACACTACAAGTTGCCACAGAATCAGCCTCCGGACTGGGCAAATGGTGCTACAGAGCTTGCGACAGCCTATGCAGGAGCTCAGATTGATGTCAACCCTGACGACAAATCAAAGCCTATGCGTAGTTACCAGCGCTTTACTTTCCTCAGTGTTTTCGCCATTCCAGCTTTGATTGACATCATTCTGCTCACTCTTATCGGACGTGGTCTGTATCTTTCTGCTTACATGACCGTCGAAGAGCAAAACAGTGCGACTATGGCATTGATGATTTCGCTGCTTCTCTCAGGAGGCATTGGTACGATGATTGCTTGTGGTGGCCCTTACTACCTCATCTCTATGGCATTTGCTGCTTCCAACATGTTTGTCTTGATCCGACTCATTGCTGGTATTGCATTCACTATCGCTGGTGGCTTGATCGGGTTTGTCGCCATCTCCAGCGTCAGAGGCCCTCGGGCAGGTATTATCTTCTACCTTTATCTGGTCTCGCTGACTATCTACTTCTCGACCTTTGCTTCTCTGGCAAGCTTCAGTTACCCAGGCTCCACATTCCTGTCGGGTCGTAAGGCTATCATTATGTGCATTCCAATCCTCTTCGCGTCCCCCATCATCACCACTTTCACCGGGCACGATTCTGCGATCTATCTCGCCGTCATCTACATTTTTATCGGTGTACTGCTGCTTTGCCTGCGATCAACTACGTCCAAGTGGGTGACTTGGTATCAATCCTTGCGACGGACGGATGATACCGAAATTCGCAAATGGTATATTTCTGTCCATGGAAACGATGATGAAAAGGTCTTTGGAACTCTCAGTGATCCAGCTGCACTCAAACTCGCACGTGAAGCTCTTCTCGAGGATGTGATGGCTGAAAAGAACCGCGGACTATTTTCAAGGTCAACTACCGACAAGCTCGTCAAGGAGATCGCCCGCGATTGGGAATCTACCAACTTCCTTCTCGATTGGTACTGCCGATATGCCGATGTTTCCCGTCCAATCCCGTTCAGTTCTGGATGGAACATTCAAACTAAGGTTGCCCTGGATGTCCTGCGTAATTCGCAGAAAGGACTCAAGCTACACAATGCCTTCGTACACTGGCGCCAGTCCAGCAAGGAGATAGGCTGCGGTGTTCTCTACTTCGTCATTGCTCTTCTCGACAAATGGATCCAAATGCTGAGCGGTGATAAACAACTTTCCGGTCTCCTCGGAGCTTCCCTTAGTGATGCGAACCGTATGGCTACCGGATTTGCTTTGGCATATTATCTGATTGGTGCTGTTCTCATCGACACCAAGGCCCAAGAACTTCATGAAGCTATCGGAGGCAAAGCACCAGAGGCCGTCAGCGAGTCCAAACATATTCGCCCCTCGCAAAAGGGTGATGTTCACTTCCGGCGAAAGGTTTATTGGCGAACTCTCTTCAAGTTTCTCCTATGGCATGTGTGGAGTCTTGCTCTGTCTACCGCTTTGCTCTGGACATTCCAAGCACCTTTGGAAGGCGTGATCATTTTCTTCACATACGTGCTTGCCTACACCGGTCTCATCTGGTACCAATACACCAAGATCTTTACCGGTCCCCATGCATTGAAACCACTCCTCACGGGAATATTCGTCGGATTGCCTGTTGGAATCGCTCTGAGAGTCTGTCTTCCCGATTTCAATTATTCGCAAATCATTGGTCTAGGAGCCGCAACTTGGATTGTTGCCATACTGTCTCTCTGGAATGCGAAAATGGGAATGCCTAACAAAGTCGACTCACTCGTTGAGATGGGCAAGATCTATCATGCTTTCACCACACCGTGGTCCGATCCTGAGTGGTCCCAGCAAGAGCTCCAGAGCTTTTATGAGAGAGTATCTCTCCTCCCGGCCGACTCCCGTTTCCAAGTTCTGCTCAGCGCCCACCCCGGAATCGAGATCAAGCAGGCCCTGGTCAATCGCAGAGAGGAGATTCGTGTTGATGAAGCCTTCCCAAACTCCAAGGACATCATCACCCAAGCCTTGAGTCTTTGGGAGAAGAACGACATACAGATCGAGCTTGTGCCTCAAGGTTCGCTCGGCCCCAGTATTCGAGCCTTGGGGTGCTATAACCAGGGTATACTTCATTTGGCTATCAGCGTGAGAGGTCTACACGATGAGCGATTGGATATCAGTGCCAATTGCCAGATCATTGCGGAGACCATGGTTCATGCCGTCGCAGAGATGATGTTGGGAGTCCCTCACGATTATGCCATGCTCTCTGAGGCAATTGTGTCTGGTGGCGTCTCACACACCATGGCTCGCCAACTTAGAGAGGAAGCCAATACTCCTCTTGTCGTGCGCTGGGCCAAGAAGGAGCTTTTGCGTCAGCTTTGCCTTGGCTTCGAGCCAGACCTTCATTGGGATAAGCTAACTGTCAAGGTTCGAACTGCTCTATTGAATCGCTGCCTGGGACTTCACGCGGATCTCTCCATCGGCCAACACCAGTGGCTGCGAAAGAGACTCTGTCAATTTGACTCGCAAAGTCTTGATGTTCATATTGCGCGATGCAATCTTGGAGCAGCCACTGCGATCAGCATTCTCGACTACGCCCACTATGGAACTGGAGAGGCGGCCGTTCCCAAGGACCCTGAGACTACCGAATACATTCCCTACGTTCCCAGAAAATTGCCAGCGGCTATCTCATTCCTTCGCGCGCCATTCAGCTATTCCTATCACACGCTTGGCTCCATTGTCAAGTTCATCATGGTTGCCTTGCTTGCCGATCCCGAGTTCCAGAGAGAGTTTGATCATGTCAGTCAGTCTCTACACACTTTCGTTCGTGTACCGTCAGTCTTTCTGCTCAATATGGTCTGGGTCTATGCCAAGATCTGTCAAGATCTGGGGTTGTCTTTCTTCTTGTTCCACGGCCGCAAGAACGTCAAGCAGTTGTGGGAAGAAACCAAATCCATGACAGTTCACATCAAGAAGAGCAGAGTCCTCATTCAAAGCTTGGATGGAACTTTTACAGCTTTCAGACATCAGGAGACTGATGGAGGCTTCAAGTTCTACCAATACGTTGGTGAACATAAGACAGAGCCGAAAGAGGCAAAGGCGCTGAAGTACATCAGCAGCTATTCCAGTGAAATGCTTCTTCTGATTAGACAAGAGTTTAAGGATGGAAAGCTCATCAATGAGTACCATTACGACTACCACGTCCCGGGAAAGAAGGGCTTTAAACTGGGCAAAATCTCGACCAACCGCACTCCTCTTGGCCGACGCTGCGTTCAGGGCGAGAATCATCTTCAGAGCATTGCTTATAACCCTAAGGGTCTCGTCGATAGGGGTTCGTACATGAAAGATGGCAACTTGATTAGTTTCAAGTATCACTATCGCAAGAATCCCCGTTTCGGTGACGAACTCCTACGTGCTGAATTCTCCCTTTCTCACATCACTGCCAATGTCGCCTGGTGTGCACCTCCCCTTCGTCACCCTGAGAAGCACAATCGCTACATTCCGCACTCAAAGGTCATGGAAGCAACATTTGTCCAGCTCGGAAATGCCGATGTCTATGAGAGTCGCTGGCTTTATGATCACAAGTTCCACCCGACCATCTTCACCACCATCAATGGAATGAAGGTTCAAACCCCGCCCATGATTGAGCACGATTATCTCGGTGTTCTGGCCAAGCCGAAGTATACCAGCTTCTTGCATGACAATCCTTTCCTCTTCTGCAAGAGTCTCAAGTCTAATGTCTTCACCCGCTTGTTCGGTTTGACAAAGTTGCGTTTCGCTGTCTCCACCTCCAAGGCTCGTTCACTCATGTGGAAAGCATGGAAGGATCGCACTGACCTTGATGGTATTGTCGTTCGCTGGATGGATGACCGCCTTCTTCGCAAAGACAGCGTCCTTGCTCCCTACTGGCGCAGTCGCGACTGGGGTAACCTTACGAATGCAAAGAAGTATGTCAATCTTCGCGCAGATGCCATCATGGCTAGCACGGATCTCGACGACAACATCTCGAGCTGGACACCTCTGGCTGTCAAAATCAGCGATCTGATCAACTTTGGCCCTGGAGGTGATGCCGTTGTGACAACCCGCTCCAAGGACTTTTCCAATGACACTGAGGAGACTCTGCACGTCATGGCCGCTGACAATGGTACTTGGCCTAACGAGGAGGTGGTGTCTCTGCCTGTCGACGAGACATGATCAATTCTCTTCGCACTATCAAATGGCATATGATTTGCGAGTCTGCAAATGACTTTGGCGTGCCGAAGCATCAGACCGAGCAGAACATTCAGTCCCTGAAAGTCATCCCACTTTGGGGTTTGGACTTCCTCACTCCCACCCACGGTCTCTTCCACAACAAGCTGGATTCAGAGGTTGACAACGTCACATCCGCTAGCGAGTTTGACATCAAGATGAACTTCATTCCAATTCTCACAGCATTAGTGAAGGGTGCACGCGCTATTGATCTTTCCAAGGCCGACATTCACCGCGCAACTCGGGCTCTGGTCAACCTCAACACGTATTTCCAGGAATCGCGACACTGGTCTCAAGTATGGAACAGCGAGACTGTGAAGCAGACTTGGCGCGACCTCTGGCTCACGCCAGATATGCCCAATGCAGTTCCGTCTCGTGAGTGGCTTGACACTGAGCTCCCCACACTCTCATCTCTCGACGTTGCGCTGGAATTATGGTACCGCTACCTCTTCATCTTCTCTATTCCAGTTCCGGACAAGATTCCTGGCGTCTTCCAGGCTTCTCATCACAGTGTCAGCGCTTCATACGGCGTTGTTTGCAAGATTAAGCGCAACTGCACACTTCAAGTCTGGGACCACGCCATCGCCTGGAGAGAAACAAATCTGTGTCTCTCATCTGCCTTGTGCAAGCTTTCCCCATTTGTTCGGAATGCCCTTCTTGGACTGATGCGCATCACTTCTGTTCTGACTTTACACCACGCGGACATCATTCTCCCTTGTGCTGATTTCTTCAACCCTGGTTGGGAAGTGGAGATTGGAACTTGCCAGGGTACAATTGAGCATCGAAATACCTTCCGTCGCAAGATTGACCCCGTCGTCAACGGCATCACTGACATGCAGAAGTTTGCCCCGGTGCAAGAGATCAAGTCAGAACGCCCGACCGTCACCATGCTTTCTCACGTTTGGTATGCGAAGGACATCAAGACCGCGCTGCTAGCTGCCGATATCATCATCAACCAGTGGAAGTTTGATGAATATCACCTCGACATCTATGGTGCTATCGACAAGGCTCCGACCTATTCAACCGAGTGCCAGGAAATCATTGCTTCCAAGGGTCTCCGAGGCCGTGTCACCTTGCGAGGCACGGCTGATCCAATGAAAGTCCTGGAGAACACTTGGCTCTTCCTAAACTCATCCCTGTCGGAAGGTCTTCCTCTGGCATTGGGTGAAGCTGCCTTGACAGGAGCTCCAGTTGTCTGCACGGATGTGGGCGCCTCGCTGCGCGTTCTTAGCGACCCTGATGACTTCTCTCGTTTCAGTGCAGTGGTTGCTCCTAATGATGCCCAAGCACTTGCGAAGGCTCAAATCTCCATGCTGGCTATGCTTGGAGAGTGGGGCCAATATAGCGAAGACAGTGACAATGAGCCGCTGCCAGTTCTCACATCCTCGCCCACCCCCGAGGAAGTGGCCGCCATCACACGTCGCATGTACTCGAAGAGCGAACAGCGTCGGAAACTGGGCATGATGACTCGCAATATTGTTCAGAAGTCATTCAGTGGCGATCGCTATCTCCGCGAGCACGAGCAAATGCTTTGGATTGGAAAGTCAGCCAAGATGATGGCAAGCCGCGCAGCCGGCGACGCAATGGAGCCAGCCGACATCGCGACAGCCGTTGAGCAAACCGCCACCGTTGAAGAAGAAGTCATCACCATTCCCCGAAACGCGGTTCACTCCTGGCGCTCCTCAACCATTTCGGGCATGTCAACTCTTTACAGTTCGGTATCAAACTACCCTCTTCAAAGTTATCGGAACCGTCCCACCTCCGATATTTCTGCTCTGAGTCTGAGTAATGTCTCCACGGACACTGAGTCCTTCGCTCGACTCCCTGTATTTGCGCCCCGGCGCTCTATGCTGTCGCACGATGGTATGCCAGGTAGTAGGTCGCCGGCTGGAATGAGGTCGCCAAATTTGCGAGCTTCTTTGGCTGGACAGCGTCGGCCTCATTCTTATACACGCTCTGTCTCGACTGCCGGCAGAGAACAGTTGCGTGGGTTGAATCGAGAGGATCTGCTTCAATACCGCAATTCGGATGTTAGCAACATCGTGAGAGAAGACTTCTTGCGATCTGGTATACATTTCAGTCACTGAAAAGGCCATGACTGTATATGAGATTCCCTAAATACTGTATATTTGTTTGTTTTGTAATTAATGTTTATTTGTCAAGATGTACTATTTCAACTTCTTTTCTTTACTTGTTATTTGGTTGATGATATCCGAGTTTGTTTTATAGTACCAAAAAGCTAGTTATAATAGTGAACAAAAATCAACAAAATCAATTACTCTTAACTTGAACGTTTATGTGAGACTAGATAGTATGTGAGTGATGGAGAGAGAAGGAGCAAATGTTCAAAGCAGAAGTGAGCGGGGGAGAGGTGTCAAGTCGGCGCCATTGGGTGATGTAGTAGGGAGAGGGATATGAACTAAAGCTAAATAGTGGGCAAAGTATCCGTTAAGAATGTCAAACAAGTCTCTCTGGGCAATAAGCCTCCGAATGGTCTTATGGTATTGGCCTTGATCATTCGGGGGGGAAGAGTGAGGAGGCTTTGAAGAGGCGCACAGGGTCCGATGCGTGCCTACCTTGTCTTTTTGCTTTTTTCCAGGTTGAAAGATCAAAACCAGGCCAGTGCATATTTGGTTTGTTTTCTTTTCCCTCCTTCCCTTTTTGTTTCGTTTGTTGTTGCCCTTCTATATACCTGGCCACCCATCGTGCCTTCCAAATGTATCCGTTTGCCGTCCCCACTTTTCTACCGGAAGTGGACCGTAGACAGTATAACTGAATCCGAGCCTCATACAAGAAGGCTACACACGAACTACTAGTACTCGTACAGTATGGACACTCTTATCACCAGAGGCTATAACACATTTGATCTCAAACCTAATAGATTTACATGAATGTCCCATCAGAGCCAATTCACGCACCGCACCCAATCCAGGCTGTCTACCTTGCTACCTATCACGACGGCTGATGTAGAAATTGTCCGAGGACTAAGCAGTCTCCGCAATAGGTTCACACGATAGAACAGGGCCCCGAATCGAACACGGGCGACGCGACAGATGTCACGATGGACTAACAAGTAGCCCAGGGCTGGTGCACGAAGCACGTGAAAAATGGTATTCGATATATCGCATCCGATACAGAGCTTATTCACTTCCGAGGAAGGAATTTCAAGGCATGAATCTCGCCTTGCGCTCCACCTTACAGCGCGAATGGGTGTTTGTTTCCTAATATGGCAGAAATAGCCCCCGGGGGAGCAAGTAAGTAAGTAAGTGGGAAGAGTAGAATAGAACAGACGTCATTAATGAGCATTGGTATCATCTATATCCCGATCAGGTAAAGATCCGGGTTCGCTTGACCGGGCTGCCCATGCGCAGAGACCCAGCCCCGCCCGCCATTCCGTTCAAGAGTCGGCCCATTCCCTCCACATCGAGCTCGCCTCGTTGCAGCATCATCTGATCGGATTCCGCGACGACTTCCTGCTTCGCGGCCTGCGCTGCTGTGTTCTCGTCCGACTCGACCAGTCGAGGTGCGAGGATCATGATCTGATGCTCAGCCGCGACAAGAACGTCGAAGGTCTGCCGCTCCGCCGCCCGGGAAAGACGTGCCGGGGCTGGGAGGTGGCCGATTGCCTGGAAATTCTCGCCCATCAAGTTGACGTCTTGGAATGGAGTCACTCGGCATCGGTTGGATGCGTCAAAGGTGCCGCTTGCCCGCACGGCATTGCGCCAGAGAGAAATCAAACTTGGGATGGCGGCACTGTGGTTACCGTGACGAAGAAGAATTGATTCATCCGGAAGGCCTTCTTGTGATGAGGTGATTTGGCAAACGGAGATTTCACCGCGGAGTGAAGGGCTCGCAGCGCTCATAGAGCCCTTAAGAAGCGTATCCTCGCGCACTCGCTTGGTGGACGGCGTCATTGGCGCGAACCGTGGTCGCTGCTGCTCCGCATCCGATTGTGTATTAGACAGTGGTGCCACGATACGACCACTAACTGCGTATGTGGTCAGCGAACCACCAGTGACGCCTTGTACGCTCGACTGTCGGTGCAAAGGGCCCTTCATGGTACCAGGCCCAGCACCTTCGATATCCCAAACGCCCCACTCGCCGTCCGCGAGCAGTACCATAACAGCTCGTCCACCCAGGACCCAATTCGCATCAATAATGGTCTTGCGACGGGGAATACCTGCGGAGCCGTGCTCAAATCCGGGATAGAGACTAATTAGCCATCGACCCTCTGTGTCGATACTTTCGTAGTCCTCGTTCGCGCTAGACGAGCGGCGCGAAGATTTTGAGGGCTTCGGGGCAGAAAAGCAAGAGTAGATCTTGACGCAACCACTGTGAAAAGCCACCAAAATATTCGAGTGGCGAGCCGAGGGGTATGAAGAAGGATTGAAAGCAATCTTTTGAGCTGGTGATGGCAAGGCCCGTCGTTGGGTGACAATATCTTCCTCAATGAGCCGATGTTGGGTGTCTTTGTTAGATGAATCTTCTCGGATAGGAATCCGATTTAGTAGGAGGGCGCCAGATCCCTCGGCGGAGTGTGTGGCAACCAGAAGATCCCACTCCCCCATCCCTGTCGCCCGGCTGCGTGATTTGCGACGATCATGTTCCTCCTCGAGTTCCCGGCAGGTAAATGCAAGTGATACACCGCGTGGAATATCTTGGTGAGTCACACCTCCATTAACAGTGAAACTCTGGACGCTCCAACTCGCCATATCGGTCTGTTCAGGGTGAGGCGGAGTGAGCGGGAGCGCGACGACCCGTGTTGAAAGATCGGAGCAAACAGCTGCAACAACAATCATATTCTTCACGATGGGTGGGAATGGATCAAGTGGCGAGCGCGCTTCTTCGGGTTGGACACCAGGAACTGCAATATCGAGCACTCGGCTGCCCAAGGGGATATCGATCTGGCGTAGGATGGCCTCAAAAGGGAAGGCAGGGTTGACTTCGGATTCTTCAGTGCTGAAATCATAGCTAGGCTTTTCTTGAGATGTGGACATTTCTGGCGCATCTTCCTCATCAGAGTCAATGATCATAACCGAATCTCCTCCATTGTTTCCAGAGCTTTTTTCTTGCACAGAGGGCTCAGGCCGTTTCAATTCGGAGAATTGTCTGCCGCCTCTCCAAATGACTTTCAACCCAGTTTCATATCCATAAATGATGATCGAAGAGCCGTTCCGAGCTCGAATGGGATAGGCTTTAGCTGCGTGGACACGATGGGGGGAGTCGATAGCTAAGAATTTGCAGAACAGATCGCATTAGTCACAGAACTTGATCGCCAGCCACTAGGTAGATAAATCATTTACCTTAGCTGCAAGCCATCTTCTCGAGATCGAGCTAGAGGAGTAGTAGGAAAGGAGGGCATTGCGCCGGTAGCAACGCTGACAGGGTGCTGAGCTTCAAGCACAGGCGCCGAATGGCACCGCAGGGATGATGAGCAGGCTCAATCTCAAGATACCAAGCTCGTGAATCGTGTGGACGAGGCCCAGGTTGAAAGCGAGGGAGAAATGTGTCTTTGAGTCGTAGCGGTGGGGGTTGTGGTGGTGGTTGAGAGGGGAGGAAGTTGTTGTGGTCGGCAGCTTTGCAAAGAAGTTGGAGTTGGGGCAGACAGCAATGCCAATGCCAATGCCGATCCAATCCCGCCCGCGTTCCTGCGCGTCTGCATCTCCCACTCCGAGCCCAATCCCGCAACCAAACATTGAACGACATCAACACTCGACATGCTATCCGGGCGGAGCACACTCGACTGAAGCTCTGAAAAGGTCTTGGCCATGGAAATATTTACTCCAGCAGGTCGAGCCGTCGGAAGATTATTTGTGACGGCGCTCTACGATCATTACTGCGACTACTAAACAACCACAACCCACCATGGCATCCGTTCGCTCACTCGGCCTTCACAAACCCTCGGCCGTCTCCTTTTTGGTTACCGAGGGACTCCTTCCTCCGGATCCTTCTGAGGATCAGTATCAATGGACAACGTGTGTGGACGCAAATGGATTGACTGGGCCCGTGGACGACGAGTTGGTGTGGACATCGCATTGTGTGGTATGGACTCGCGCAGGGATGGTGAAGAGAATTTTCCGATTGGATCCTGAGAAAGAGGAGATTCGGCACGCACTATTCACCCAATTCGCGGAGGGCCATGTTAAACGCTCTGTTCACGAAGGTCCAATCAGTACAAAGCCTCCCACGATTAGCGCCAGGCCGAATGCTCGAGGAGCCAAACAATCCGACAGGCAAGCCGCCGAAGCCACGCGAACAAATCCAGGTCCTACATTGAATCTCCATGGGGAGGAACAAGCGGCAGTGGTGGCTCCCCAGCGCGTCCATGAGAAACTATCACGAGCTCTGGTGGTCGTACTCAAATCACAAGCCCATATCTTTTTTGTTGCTGGAAACAGCCATACAATTCCTCTTCCTTTCGAAGTTCAGTCTGTATTTGCTACACCTCAAGGCCTGCTCTTCCAAAGGAAAATTCCGGACGATGATGGGGGTCGCCAACAGCCAACTGCGCCTCCCAACTCTTTCCTAGCTTCTTCGTTGTTCGATCCTCGTGCTTCGCAATCGCAAGATACACCACTATCACACAGCAGGGGGAGACGTCAATCATCAAAGCGTTCTGCTCTCCACGGCTCATCATGGATTCCGAAGCCAACCTCAACCACTGACATTCCTCGGGTCTTCTCACTCATCGATCCTCATTCGGAAATGGGGTTAGTTGTGACATCACAGAACACACGATGGAAACAGAGTAGCATGAGCAGTGCCAAGCGAAGACCCTCTGGGCTGGATGTACTTGATCCTGCCGATGAGATAATCTACATTTCACCCCAAGATGAGCTTTCTGGTTCAGGCCAGGTATCTATTGGCGCCCCTCTAATTCTGGTTGTCACTATAAACACAACTACAGGACTTTACACTGTGTGGACTGCGCGCTACAGAGATGATGAACCCGGTGGTTCAATCAAAGAGAAGACTCGCCGACACACAGAGGGTACTCAGTCCAAGAGGCGCAGTTCGCACTTTGGAATGGCAACCGGTGCAACGACCCCAGCTGCACGACCCTCAATCCGAGAAAGCTTTGGACCCT